GCGCGACGCGAAATAGATGAGGCAGAGACGCGAGAAAACGGCGACGAAAGGCGATCGAAAGTCGCTTTAATCGAAAATTCAGTTGGTCCCCTGCCGGGACACGGAGACAAAAATTTCATTTCCAGTTGCATCCGGTCCTTCAATCTAGTTTCTCGTTCGATCCTTTTATTCATTTAGAGCAGCCAACCTTGCTTGACAATAGCACGCTTAAAGGGTTTTATCGGAGCAGATCTTTTTCATAACTTTCTGTAGACAATACGCATACAATATAGTATCGCACCTTGGAAAAAAAAAGAGTCGCAGCTCAAAAAAGGGATATGTTCGAAAAGCGAAATTGAAAAATTCGATTCGGATTTGTAGAATCATAGATGGGATAGATTCTATCAAACGTTAAGGTACTATATATGTATATAGAGGTATATATAGAAGTTGTTTATTAAAAAGAATGTAAGGTTAAATTAAAAATTTTAATGGATGCAATATTTATGTATTAATGTAGGCAGCAAGTAAGGTTTATTACATTGAGTTGGCGTAACAATTGAGGGAGAAGAGACCAAAGCCAATTGATTGGCTTCTCGAACTATGCCATTTCGCGGCATACGAAAATATCGATTCGTCTGACGGTAAATGAAACCATTTGTCATTTTCCTCAAACGCTCCTTAAGCAATTTTCTAATTTACGGTTATATGTGTGCCAAGTTCGCGATAAGTTTGATAAAGTGTGCTATGGACCATTTAGCTCCTAATCTATAAGAACTAAAAGAAGAATGAAAAAATAATGCGCAGCAAAAAAGCAAAGTGGAAAAAAAGGTACCGCGTCTTACGAGAGACTTCAAGAGAAAGGCCGATTAATTGAATTCAAAATGTGAATCAGGGATGTGGAATTATACACAACACGATATGATATCCCAATGAACCCCAATTTGACTTCCCGTAGATAATTTTTTAACTGATTTCCCAAAAAAAATGAGATGAAAGTAAACTATTGAAAAGTCAGATATAAAAGCTCGGATCAATGTTTGACGTCAATTGTATTAATTGAATATCGCTTCCTTCCCCCCGAGTAAAAAATTTAGATATTAAATCGATTGGTCAGGATTGAAATAGTTGCCCGCATACAGGCCGAAATCACCACCGTTAGAATTACCTTCGAATTGAATGTGTGCGTTTGAAAAAGCCCGCATGGGGCAGAGATAATGAAGTTCGTTCGGTGCCACCGAATCTAGATTGAAAAAGCTGAAATTCCGAGTTTGGAACTGGACGAAATCTACTCCAGCTTTCTCTACCGATTAGATTACGCACATGCGATATATTTTTTTAGAAACAAATGATGTAACACACACACGCACACACGCGCGCGCGCACGAGGACGTGGTACTAAAAATATCGCTGGCAATCCATGGAAAAATAAAACCCCAATGCGCCAGATCAGTTACCAAACGTTCCATTCGAGCGTTCGCAGTATCGTTGTGTAATAATATATACAGAAACGCGAGTAGAAAAGGTGATATAATCACTTAAAGTTGATAATATGTCCTCGTTAAACAGGAGCTCTCGTATTCCTTTTTTCTGACTTTTTCATTTATGTCTTTGAGTATTTCAATCTCCGCCCTCCGACGCTAAACTGCACGCGGTGGCATATTTATTCCAGTTGGGATCGCGAGTTACGATATACATCGCACCGCGGAGATAATGAAGTTCAAGTGCGGCGAATTTAGATCGGAGGAATCTCGAATCGCAAGCTTAAAGCGGCCAAGTGATTCGGTTCGCGTGATCCACCCGCGGTGATCCCTTTTATTTCGCTCGTCCCTTTCCCGATCTCCTCGATTCGAGAAGGGAATTATAAGGGTGTATCGACGGCGCGACCAGCGAATAGAGACGAAAAAGGCGAGAGAGAGAGAGAGAGAGAGAGAGAGAGAGGGAGATTTTCGCGAGATGCTATTACGATCGTCTGTAATTGGCGAGTCTGTGTGCCACTTTTAATTGCGGCCGCCCTCGGCCCGTTTCAACGAGAACGTCTCTGGACCAGCCCCGTAATCACCGTTCATTGATTCATTTGCCGATTGCGCCCCAAGCCTACAAGGCGCGTCAAAAACGGCTGCGAATTAATTACCTCGATCGTAAATGTAAAAAGCTGAATGCTTTCATGCTCTTTTCACGATTTTCATTTGTGCCTCAACAAAAAAAAAATTAACCGATTTTTCCGTGTCTTACTGGCTGTGACACTTGATGCCTGCAGTGAAAGCTATCCAGGCGAAAAAGTACATTTTTACGCAACGGTGTGCAATAATATGTATATGAGTAATGTGCAGTAATACAGATAGATCGTACGTGATATACACAGAAATATATTTTTTTCTTTCAAGCGAGGGAAGCACACGAAATAGCGGGCGCATTTTCACAAGACCGTGACTGCATACACAACTTACTGAAAATGCTTTTCGCGCAAGAGTGACTTCGCTCACTCACAGCGCACGTAACGGTCGAGTTATTAAAGTTATGATAACCAACCCGTTGTGACATGCAACCTCGGCTTTCCTGGCGATGGCCATCAAATATTACGCTGAGGAATATATAATGTTTCAGTACTTGTACGTGCATAATTTCCTAATGAATTTCACAAAAGTTCGACAGAAGAATGATTTTAATAATTTTAAATTAAATACTCTCTTTGTCGAAAGATTATTGTTGAAAGCTATGGAAAAAAATTTGATCGAAGATATTGAATTAATACCATCAAAAAGTAAATATTGCAAGGTCTTACAAAATCCCTTTTATGTATTTATTTATTAAATAGATTAAATTGATATTACAAAATTCGCAATCATTTTTAATGGAAAATTGATCTCGCACGCGCGTACATTTCTCCCTATAAATTCTTAATCTTCGACATTAAATATTTTGATCTCAAATTAAACTTCTAAGATTTTGTGTTACATTTGTGTCCACAGAAAATGTCGTTAAACATTTAACTCTACCTAATACAAATGAAATTTTTATTAAAGAGTAAAACTTTAGCGATGAAATACATTTTACTTATTTTTCGCCCGACTCAGACTGACTCAAAAGAATTCTTTCACGTCGGATCGTTTGTAACACGAAAATTGTAAATATTCTCGTCAGGAAAAATCGGAAAAAGGACTTTAAACTGGCCGAAGAATACGCCAATCTGCGCCGCCAATTCAGACACCCTGTATTTTTTTCCACGTGATCGTTGTGCTTGCGCCAATATACGCGCCCGCTCTGACTGCATTTTAACGAAGCCCATTGTAGATCGGCTGAATAAAGTCAGACGGCTTCGATGATCGAGGATAACAGCCTCGCAGATCTCCGATCGTGTTCTCGTCACAAATCAAAGCGGGCGGCGCGAGGGATGTGTAAAACGCGTCACCGACCGATGGTGTGCGCTGTCGATTGAATGAAATATCGCGGTGGTAGATCGAGCCGGATCGACTCTATTAGCGGAGGTCTCCGAGAACCGACGAGGTGGTCGGGAAAGGAATCGTATCTCATGAAGAATTACGACTGTCGCACCTCGCGACCGTCAAGGGTCGCAAAAGAGCAAAATGTGACTAAAGGTCCCGCCTCGCGTAATCTCGCAAAGGTCGGTCCATCTTGCTTTTATCACTCCGTTTCTTTCTCTTCGGATTTATTATATTTTAAATTATATAAATATGTTGTGTGAGAGTATTGGTGTGCCATAAAGAAATTCTACAAATTTATGAAACATCAGTGGATTAAAGTAGAAATATAAATATACTGAGATGGATGCGTGTAACAGTATGTAGGTCTGTAAATCCATAAATCTGCGACTTGACTTGAAGAATGAGACGAATGGCACGACATAGGTTTCGGACAACATGGAATAGGCGTGGTAGATGATCCAATTTATCTATTAAATAGTTGAAAAGATGTGATGCCATTCATAGCATTATACGTAAATTAATATATTAAATTTAAACCTAGACAGTTTTTTGATTCAAATTATTTATTGTACTAATTTTAATATATTAATATATCTATTATTGATATAACAAAATTTAAAATAACAATTATTAGAAATTTTATTCTTACTTTCTTTTTTCTAGCTTGTATTGATTAGATTTTTAATTTCTTATAAACGAATTCTTTATTATTAAAGTTCTATCGATAGTTTAATTTTTTATTAAAGGAATTCTTTATTTTATTAAAATCAACAATTTCTTTATTTCAAAAATTTTATTTTTCTATTTTGTATATTTCAAAAATTAGATAAGTTATACGATAATGTTTCGGATAAAGAAACACGAGTGTATAAACATATATTTTTCTGAAGAGTCACTTATCATTTAATTTCATTGGAAAAGGTAATGAGAAGTTTTTTATATGATTAACAGAAAACTTATAAGAGCAAAGATAAAAATTATACGGATACATTCACGCGAGGTAGAAAATGCGATAAAAGCTCGAGACTAATACGCGTTAAGTCTTCATAAATTGTCTTTTTTTTACAGAGATCGTGTAGAAGCTTTAAATTGTAAGGTGATTATGAAGTTAGAAATGCCGAGCAGAATTTTTTCTCTCAAACTGTAACGCTAATGTAATAAAATCTGAACGGCTGTCCCTATTGGAAATAAAAGCTCCCTTTTATTACCCAGAAGAAATTGCACGACATTGGGAAAAGACTAAGGAGATGGTAAAAATATCAATTTTTTGAATGAAAATCAAATCTATGAATTACATGAAGTTTTGTAACATATAATATTAATTGTGAGAATAATTAACGAACAATATGATGTCAAAGAGATAAAATCATATTATTAAGTCATTTATGCAAATGCGAGTCATTGATGTAGATACGTGAGGTAAGATTTTTGTAAATTCAGCTCTTTCTAATCGCAAGTGATTCTCGGCAAGTTGTACTTGCGCTAAAGATTTAATTAAAAATTTTGTAACTCTGTTAAGTCTCCAATATACGATTTCGCGGATCTCTTTGACGAATCGTCGATACCATCTTGCAGGAATGTCAGCCGGAATTTCTTCACGATCTCGTCCTGAAGATGAAGGCCTACATCTTCACCCCCGGCGATTCGATATGTCGGAAGGGCGAGGTCGCCCGTGAGATGTTCATAATAGCCGACGGTATTCTAGAGGTGATCAGCGAAACTGGTAGAGTCCTGACGACAATGAAGGCCGGGGACTTTTTCGGCGAGATTGGTATACTCAATCTGGACGGATTAAATAAGTGAGTAAAATTCTTCCGATTCTCGCTCCGCCCGGAGTCTGATCGAAGCGGAGTTGGGATCCATAATGGAGTTAGGATCCACTTCTCATCTCGCGAGTTGAGCCAGACAATTACACGAGCGGCAAAAGAGAAAGAGAACTAGCTTCTTCATGTATCTATAATCGTAAATTAAAGAAAAATATTTTGCAGTCATGGTGATCTTCAAATGTTTTTAAATGTTTATCTTTTCACAGAAATAATTTAAATCGTAATCACAAAATTTTATGTACATTCTTAACTTTGCACGCTTTATGAGAGCTAAATTAAAGTCGAAAATTCGGAAAAACTTTCAGACGCACAGCCGACGTTCGTTCGGTGGGTTACTCCGAGCTGTTCAGCCTCTCGCGGGAGGACGTGCTGGCGGCGATGAAGGACTACCCGGAGGCGCAGGAGATCCTGCAAAACCTCGGCCGGAAACGGCTGATGGAAGCGCAGAGGGTAGCGCGGGCATCGCGCCGACCTACGTCGCCCGGCCACGATTCGTCCGACAACAGCACCGGCAAGAGGATCGTCGATAAGCTGAAGAGCGACGTGAAGGGTCTGAAGAACGTTCTGCGGAAGAGCAGGCGCAACACACGGCCTGAGGAGAGCCTGGAGCTTCAGCCATTAGCGCCGAAGATGCCAATGCTGAGGCGGCAGCAGAAGATCGACGACAGCCAAGACCTGCCGTTGCCCAGTAACCAAGAGCAGCCGGTGTCGCCGCTGGGCGCCGGTCTTCCGCTGTTGTCCAGGCTCAGGCTGTTGAAGGAGAAGGAAGAGAGGGAGGAACGGCGTAATCTGATGGACACAACGACCCACGCGACGGAGCCGCACGCGCCGCCAATCTCGGAGACCTTGAACCCTACCAATCCGAACCTGCCGTTCTTGCAGAGGATACTTCTGTTGAAGGCGAAGAACGAGCAGGACACCACTCAAATGGAGAGGGAAATAGCCCCCATCAAGGAGCACACCCTGCCTAGAAACGCCATTCCCGAGGAGCCGAGCACGCAATCGGACGAGCAATCGTCCTCGGGTGGTCAAAGCGTCGCCATGACCACTGTGACCTCGCAGGTTGAGACGCGCGCGGTCAAGCCGATCAAGAAGCCCTGGACCACGTTGAAAAACGCGTCGTTGACCACCAAGGATAATTCGCCGCAGAAAAGCCCGCCGGCCAAAAAGCTGCAACAAACCAAAATGTATGCCTCCGTCGACGACCTCTCGCCGGAGTACTGCGGTCTGCCGTTCGTCAAGAAGCTCAAAATTCTCAACGAGAGGCAGAAGTTGGCCGAGCTGGAGAAGGCGGTCAGGAGCTCGTCCCTCGATTGCGGTGAGAACTTCGAACCGGAGTTCGACAGCAATCTCACAAGGAGTCACTCGGAGGCCTGTGCCATCGAGTACGCCAGGAAGCTGGCCAAATATAATCGAGTAAGTAGATTCTATGATTTTTTTTAAGTTATTTTTATCATTTTTTACATATCAGTTAATTTAAAAGAAAAGGATTAATATGAAATTTTAGTATTACAAATATTAATGTTGATATTACAAATTAGATTAGATATATAATTCCTTCACCCTTTCTATATTCTCTTAAAAAAGGTATAACAAAACTCGTTATTATCGATCTTGCCTATTTTCCCGTTATTAAAAATGTTGAAAAACGTGTGCTAGCAGCGATGGATTATCTGGTATAGTTTTTCAGATTTACAATTCTATGCAGAATCTGCCTTTGAACAGATAGTATTCTTAAAAAATAAAATAATAAAAATATTTCATTATATATATATATATAACATTTATTTAGTTTTTTTAGAAAGAGATGGAAAACTATCAGTTTAACGACTTCCGTGGGTATACCGCTTGAGGCAGTTTGCTTAAATTAATATATTGCTTAAAATAGAATATTAAATATCCTGTTTATAAATGCAATTAAGTGTTGCAAACTGTAGAGGAAACGTTTCCGTTGAATAATGCATCGACAATGACAACAATAATTAATAATTTATAATCATTAACAATAAATGCGGACGTGCTGTTAATAATTTATTTCTTGATAGTAGCCATTAATGTAATAAACGCCGAAGAAGGAATTTAATGACGATGTAATTTTTTTAATACGAAGTTTCTCCGATTAAAATTTTCATTTTGTGACAGGATCGACAAGCGGCGGCGTCGTCGGCGCCGGAACAACTGTCGCCGGAGAACGAGACGCTCGAGAGGCGGAACCTGAAGAGCATCCTGAAGAAACTGTCGGCCAGCAGTAGGGCCGGCAGCTCCGAGACCTCGGCGACGAGCACGCCGGATCGCGAGGCCGCGACCGCCGAGCTGAGGAAGCTGATGAGAGCGCCGACGATCGAGGGTTACGCCGCGCGGCACTCGAAGCTGTCCAAGAGCGTGACCTTCAACAAGTACACGCTGCAGAGCCCGCCGTCCGAGCAGCCCCTGCAGCCGCCGCCGTTGAACTACCCGCCGTCCGGCACCCAGGATCAGCCGTCACTGCCGCCGCCCAATAAATTCAGTTTCCGTCCTGTGAGCAGTGTCGGTGGTGTCCTGCAAACGATGTCCCGGCCGCGGGAGGAGGAGTGCCTGGGCGAATTGCTCTCCGGGGTCGGTGAGGTCATCAAGGCGGGCTTGGTGAGTGAGGAGAACGCGCGCGAGACTGCCGCCGTTTCCTTTGTCCCCGCTTTCAATGGACGAGCTTTGTGTACCGCGCTCCCTGTCATCACGACGAGAGTGCCTTTGTCAAAGGGCCGCTCTCGTTAGAGACCCGGGAGACGCCTTGACAACACTCTCAATATCGATATTTATTGACAGTGCAAATAATCGGTCTGCCCGGCGGGAATCAGTCGAGCTCTCATATATATACATATTATATGTACATATATATATTGTATATATATATATCTTGCTAGTAACTTATTTTTAATTTTCATTGTTAAATCTCTTATTATCCCTTCTCCCGTTGTGTAGCAAAGAGAGATCATCATTCGTGTAATTCCGCGAAATTAAACCCGTCACTCGTTCCGAGCGTGTTTCCCAAAGTCCCGAACTTGGTGCTCATCGTCGCCAGATGTACGTCCGTCAAGCCCATCAATTATCCAACTCCGCTCGCAGGAGTTCCCCATTACCGTGTGTGACACACGGCTGTCCCGATTAATCATACGCGCCGCTTTTGACGTTGCAGGACGACATGCAGGGCAAATTCGAGCGACAGTTCACGTCGCTCGAGCTGGAGGTCCGCAAGCGTGACGAGATAATATCGCAGCTACAGTCGCGGATCCAGGAGCTGGAGCGAAGGAAATTGCGGGCCGCGGACGATTCCGGCGGGGACAGCACCGAGCACGACGCCTCCATGGAGGAGGACCTCGACGACGATCGCGAGGATCATCCCTTCATGCGTGACAGCTCCGTGGACACCGTCCTCGGGTCCGCGCGGTCCCGCAACCGGCACTCGTCCTCGTCGGTCGGCTCGAGCTCGCGCTCGCGCAGCAGGCGATCGTGGGAGGAGCACTCGGAGAGAGAAACCCTGGAATTGCAGGAGCTGCCGAATTCGATAGTGCCGCAGAGGCTGTCGCGGAAGGATGTGGCGATCGACGTTGAATCGAACAGCGACAGCAGATCGGACGAGGAATTTGACGTCTGCGGCCGTCGCAAAGGCGACAGCGATGAGGGCGACGAGGAGGACGAAGAGGACGAAGAGGAGGAGGAGGAGGAAGAGGAGGAGGAGGACGACGACGAGGACGATGACGACGATAAGATCGTGCGGCAAGACGGCTACAACAATTGGGAGGTCGCCCTGCTGGCGAAGCAGCTCGAGGCGAGGAGAAGAAGCGGCGATAACGCCAGCCCGGGTTCCTAGCGCATTAACGAGATTCTAGAAATACTGTGTTACCTCACGAACACGATACGCTCCGACGGATGGTGCAATCCGCTGGCTGGGACCGGCGGTAGTGCAGCTTTTTGCGAACACGATCATCGCTCGTACTTACAGTTAGACTTCGATAGTATGACTACTAGCTGCAGCGAGACTATGATGTAGTACGATCTCGCAGGGCGTTGTTGATATCTTTTTTCTTTATTTCTAATCCGTTTCATCGAATTTGTTTTCCAGTTATCTGTGATAGATCTCCAGCTCGATGAATCGGCGACCCAGTATAATTTACTCTTCATCGATATTATCTCTCATGCAATACAAGTTCTCTTGTCTCCTTCTTCAACCTTTTCCTTATGCTTTTTTTTTCTTCGCTGTTACGAGTGATCTTATCGAAAATATAACTAGTTCAAATGATTTGATTTCTCTCAACGCGTACATTGGATTGTAAATATTCACAGGTGTGCCTGAGGAAATATTAATACATGAGATATTCAGGACTCTCTTCTCTTATTACATAGACATCCTAATTGAACGTACAAGATATCTCAGAGTAGCTATGTACCAATAGCAAAATATACGACCTACAGGGAGTTTCTTAAACGGGAAAATTGGAAAATTTTTTAGGGTGGGAAATATCGAAACTTGGACTAGAATGCCGCGCAACCGTATGCAACCGTATACACCATATTATATTTTTGAAAAATACACGCCTCTTTCTTGCCATTTCGTTGGCAGCGTTTAAGAATTCGTCTCTGCTCCTCCGATTATCCACTTAATCATATTCCTGAAAAGCTGCACCACAAACGAACGGAGATATTAGTCGGTTGTACGAAGCGAGAGAAGGAATAAATAATTTTAGAAGAAACAGAAAGAAAAAGAGAAAGATATAAACAGAGAGATATAAATATAATTTGAAGCGAACAGAACTTAATGGAGAATATATTACGTATACTGACCAGACCAAGCTCAATATTTCTAGAGTCTTTACAAGATACGTCTATTAAGCGACAAATGATTATTAAAGTAAGGAAAAGAGAATTATTAAGATCTTGTACATATTAGCCGATAATTTATTTATTTATGAGCGAAAGAGGAAGAGCGAATGAGAGTAAGATTACGGAAAGAGGGAGTAGGAGATACAAATATAAAAGTTAGTGTAAGAATGAATTTTATTGGATTACAAGGAGAGAAGCATTTTAGATGCTGATATGTACCTAATATGCGGACGAAAGGAACATACAATAAAGCAAATGTTTTCAAACGTCGCAATTGTCATACCCTCCTAATCCCCAAGAAGAGCAAGAATTAACTTTGATAGTTATTTCACATTCGGTTTACGGTAATTTTTTGAAATATACGAAAATTATATATGAATAATGCGAAAAATAAAAAATATATTTTACATCAAATTAGACAAAAATAATTATATTATAATATAATTATTTTTGTCTAATTTGATGTAAAATATATATTAATGTTAATGTTACTAATTTAATAAATTTATTAAATAATATGCATTTATTGAAAATTTGTGGAAAAATAATTAATATCTATTTTTATTCAGATTTTATTCTAATTGAGTTATTCAATCATTGATGTCAGTTAATATTTTAAAGTTAATATTAAAGTGTTATGATTATTTTTTATTATTTTCATTTTTACATTAGTATTCTACTTTTCGTATAAAAGATAAGGTTTTTAAAATTACAAATTTTTCACCAATTTATCTCTTTTATTGAATAATTTAGATGAGAAAATATAAATAATTTAGATCAGAAAATATAAAATCAATTTAATTAATTTAAAATTAAAAATTACTCTTCTCAAGTTTATATTTTATATATATTATATATTCCATTTTCACACAAGAAACAGAATAGTAATTTAAAAAATAAGAACGATAAAAAGTAATCTCGTAAATTTTATAATACTTCGTAAGACATAAAATGTTTTATCTTGAATTTACATCTTTTATCGCAATTCCAATGTTATTTTCAATTTTTATTCCTCTGCTTCTCTTTTGTTAGGTAAATAGGTTGACAATAAAATGTCGCAGTAGCAGCTCCTACTGTCAGAAATTTTTGTCGTAAAGCGAGAGCTCCGGAATTCGAATCACGCGCCACTGGCGCGACATCCGCGGGAGCTGTGGTGCGCGCGGATCAAGCCGTAGCGCCACGCAAGGGCCACCGCGACATAACCTGCGATCATAATAATAACAAAAGCGTCGCGACGGATTTTTGTTATCAAAATACTGCGGAGTCATATCACGGAATCCACGATTTCGCGCGGTGCGCGCCGTTATTGTGATGCCGAGAACGTGAACCCACCGTGGACGGCTTCGGCAGGATGGGCGACATACGTGCTGGCCTCGAAGATCTGAAGCTCGACGGTGCTCTGTTTGCCAACGTTAAATACTACGTCAGCGGTGAGGGCGATCCGAAGGTGTGTATGTACGTTACAATTGCCCGCTCGTTTCCCGCGTTTTTGTCCTGCCGATGGCCCGACCCCCGACCGATCGAACAGCCGTGAGATTCGCTGCTGTCGCAGCTGACCGCACATTGTTAGACCGAGAGTTATGACGTTCTTTTTTTTCGACTACGAAACTCCCGTGTCTCGATTGTCAACGAAGGTTATAATTTGGAGAGCACCATTTCGCACAAATGTCGTCCGGTCGTTGGACTGCTCCTCTTTTCTGTAACAAGTTTTTTTTTTTTAATATTCGAAACGACGATGTTGAATTATTTCATATTTTATATGCCTGAAATGTTCATTAATGTTTATTAATTATAAGCAATACTTTTACAGATTTTGAATTTATTGCAAGAAGGTGGGGCTGAGAGATCTAATTATTTTAGTGATTTCGTTACACATCTGATAGCAGGTAATGAAGCATTAGAAAATGATATTTCTGCAGCGAAGGATCTGTATGAAATACCAGCAGTCACACAAAATTGGATTTTATATTCTATTAAGTGCAACAAGCTTCTACCGTATCCTTTTACAAAAGACTGTTATTTTAATATTAATATTTTACACTCTTACAAACGTAACACATACGTATAGTAATTACAATAAAATTATTGGAGAATTATAATTTTTATTTAAACATTTTCATATTCTAAATAAGAAGAATGAACAATTTTTAACAAGTTCTTAAAGAGAGAAATAATGTTACAAATATGAGCAATTGGTTAATAAAACAAAACAGTTTATCTTTAATATATACACTTTGAAGAACATCAGTAATCATTATATTAAATTTATGGCATAGTATATATTTTCTTAACGAATTTAAATAGAACGCAATATTTCTCACCAGAAGAGAATCAATTGTTCTCGAGCATACATGTCTGCCTATCCCAAGTAAGTCGTGCAGACAGCAAGTCTCTATGGGCAATGATAACACTGCAAGGTGGCAAGTGTCAGCTACGCTTGGACAAATATTGCACTCATCTGATTACGGGCAAAGCAAGTGGTATAAAGTATGAAGCTGCTATGAGACACCATATACCCATCGTAACGCCTGACTGGATAACGGAATGTTGCAAGAAAGGTACTCTCATTAGTGAAGTGGAGTATCATCCTAGACTGTTGGTGTCTCCAAATAGCTCGACAGCCATGATTACTGGATTCATGGACGAGGACACGGATAATAACGTTGCGCAAGAGGAGCAAGACAGGACTAAGGCCATGTTGGAGCAACTCAAGCAACGTATGCCATGGAATCAATCGAGTCCATCGGTGTCCTCGAGCGCTTCGCACAGCCTTGGTGCGACCAGTACGACGACTGTTCCTTATTCGACGAGTGGACAAAATACCGTGAACATGCAGCCGCAACAGCATCTTCCACGATCAGTCTCCTCGACCAATTTGAGCACTTCCACAGCTGTCCCATCAGTCTCCGAGCAGGATGTCATCAGTCAAACAAATTGGCTTCCACAGACGTCTCAACAAAACAATATTTCTCAGCAAATGAAAGCTGTATCGTCGCAGATGCAGCAGCAAGAGCTGCCCCCGCAACAACAGCAGCAACAGCAAATGAATATGCAGCATCAATTGATACAGCAGCAGCAATTAACGCAACAACAGCTCACGCAGCATCAACAACAGTTGCAGCAGCCACCGTACAATCAACAACAACTTTTGAATCAGCAGCAGTCTCCTCAGTTACAGCAACAGCAATTAGTGGGGCAACAGCAGTCGATAATGCCTCAACAACAGCAACAATCAATAAATTCGCAATTACCTCCGCATCAGCTAAACACGCAGCAGCAGCAGCAGCTATTGACATCGCAAAAGCAATTAAATCAACATCAAATTATTCAGCAACAGCAATTACAGACTCAGCAGCCACATTTGACGCAACAACAACAGCAAGTGCAACTGGCAGCTCAACAACAGCAGCAGCAGCAAATAGTGATGCAGCAGCAACAACTACCTTCTCAGCAACCACAAATAGCAGGTCAACATCAATTGACTCAACAAACTCCACCGCAGCAACTTACTTCCGAGCAGAGACAACTTATTTTATTGCAACAGCAGCAGCAGCAACAGAAGATACAACAGATTTCACAACAACTGCAGCAATCTGCTCCGCAGAACTCGCAACAGTTCGTCATAAGGGACGGCCAGTTACAACAACAGCCACAGAATCAGCAGTTAATTGGACCAAATCAGCAAGGATTTATTGTTCAACGAGACTCACAGTGGCAGCAACAGCAATACCACTTGCAGCTGCAAAGGCAACAACAACAGCAACAGATTGGTGCTCAAAGGCCCGGAGGACAATGGAGTCAACCGCCTCAACCTCCTCGACACTTGATTCAGTTGGACGCGCAGACACATCAGCAGCTACAGCAGATGGATCCCCAACAGAGGGCTCAATTCATCCAGAAGATTCAGCAAAAGCACCGGGGCAGCCTAATATTGCAGAAGCAGATGCAGAATCGCCAGACGCAGCAGGGCTCGCACATCGCTGTTATAAGAAGCCCGGGTAAACCAGTACAGCCGGGCAGTTTACAGTGGGTTCAGCAAGCTCGACCGCAGATGATGGGACCACAACTCGCGCAAGCTCCAGGACAGAAACCCGTACATCCTGGAGTACAGCCACCGGCATTAACTCCGATAAACTCTTCCAATCCAGTCATCGTATCAGCCGGCCAGGCTGCTGTTCAAGGCCCGCAGGCGTCACAGATAGGTCAGCCATTCCAACAAGGACAGCTGACGCCTCAGCAATTGGCGCAATTGCAGTTACAGAAGCAGCAGCAGATGGTCAGACTGCAACAGTTACAGCATTTACAGCAACAACAACAGCAACAGCAAGGCGCGCAGCAAGAACCGCCGTTAGCGTCTCTGCCGAATAATGCGCAAATTCCGCCGGATCAGCAGCTTGTCGTGAATGCTAAAACAAAAACTGCGCTGGCAAATATGCTGACTAACAGATTGCAAGGCGGTGCTGCCGAGGGTAGCGCAGCTGGTCAATTGAGATTAATGACTGCGCAGCATCGACCTCCACCCCCTCCTTCACAGGACCCGCAACTCTTAGCAGCTTATCAGCAGCAGAGGAGAACTACTCTGGGGAACATAACAAATGGCGCGTCATCGGGAGCACCTATAAAAATGCAATATGCTCCAGTTATGCCACAACCTAAGACTCAGTTTTATGGTCACAATCCAAATCTGAAATGTACGTAAATCTGAAATCTATTTTTTTCAAATTATTTTCATCGTTGTTCTGTGTCAACATTATTATGGACAATCTTTTATACATAAACACAGTAATATAATGATTTAAAAACTTTTATTTTCTTATATATTTATATCTACATCTGGTATTATTATTAATGACAGAATAATATATGTATTTTTTAGTGCCACCGGATCTATTTTTGTTAGGATGTATCTTCGTCATTGTCGAATATGACGTGCAGCGTCCTAATGAAGTTTCAGTCTGGAAACAAGTTATTGAGAGACATGGCGGCGAGGTGGAGTCACAGTATTGTACACGTGCAACACATGTGCTAGCGATTACACAGAAACATCCGACTGTGGTGCAAGCGCTGCGCGAGGGAAAACGTTGCGTCAGTGCACATTGGCTTTCTGACGTTGTTAGTAAACAGCAAGTTACTCCACCTTGGCATGTTCTTCATTTTCCAACGCCATTTAGCTTAACTGAGCTACCGTGTGGCAAGCAAATCATATCGTTTTCCGGATTCGAGGGAGAGGAACGAGCAAAAGTCAAATTCATGCTAGAGGCTTTGGGTGCAAAGTACACGAATTACTTTTCCAGGCACAATACGCTTCTTGTTTGTAGAAGGTACTGATCATGCGTTTCTTTGGTTGTTTTAATTATATTTTAAGTGAATTATTTATCAATTGTTTATATATATTATATATGTAATATATTTTATTTCATTAATTGATAATTTAATTGTCTTCTGATTCTTATACAATTATTATATTGAAATAAATTTCAGGCCAGATGGACTGAAATATAAAAAGGCACGTGAGTGGCAAACTAGTGTTGTAAATGCACAATGGCTGACGGATTTACTATGCGGGCAGATGAATGCTTTGCATCAACTTGAGGGTCCAAAGTATCAACAGTTTAGTCTGAGTAACCCTTTCAGACTGGATTATTCACTAGTGCCTCATCTCATGGGTATATAACTTACCATTTACTTATTAGATTGTCATAAAACAATTACATATTTAAAATTGAACTGTGTCGCTATGTATAAAGCTCTCAAATCGAATGTTCCATCTAATTTCAGCTGCTTGGAAAATGCCAATAAATATTACACAAGAATCGTATGACAAAGTAAAACAGGTTGGTCAGGGTCCAAATTCGATTAGAAAATACAAAAAGCCACGCTTGGATGGCCCACTATTGAGTAAGGACCCGCATCTTCTGGGTTTGGATGAACCGATTGTCATTAGCAATCCTGATCCTCCGCCACCCGATAAACAACCAAGAATACTATTTTCTGGTATAAACCCTAAAAATCATGCCAAGGTATAAAAAAGATATTTATTTGACTTTTCTCAAAATATTCGAAATTGTAAAAGAGCACCCGCTTCTTAATTAATAAATTAATTTTTTATATCCCATTTATTTTTTCATGTGTCTTGTAATAAAGCTTCTTGCACTATCATTTTTATCGTCTCGTTACCCTCATCCGTCTCTGTTGTTATCGCTTAAATATCTTTCGTGTTTCACTAATTCTCTTCGACACTTTTTTTCTTTTGTATTTCTCCAGCTTATGCTCCAGTTGTTATTTATATTTTGTTTTCTCACAATATTTGCCATCGCACACATGCCAAGAGATACTAACTTCATATTTTGTTTATAAGTACAGAAATATATTAATTATAATATTACTATATTCTGCTATTACAATTTTTTTAATAGAACCTATAACCTCTATTAAACTAACCCCTTCACTAGCGCCAAATTAATTTTTAAATAGTAAGAAATAAAGTGCTCATTAGGTGCTCGAACCGTTTGGCAGAAATTAAAACAATATTAAGGGGGGGGGGCTGGCTTAACATTAAGTCAGCCCTCCCCCCCAAAAAATAAATATTTATTGCGTGAATGAAAAAAACATATGCAGCAGAATTAAATGCTAATTAAGTGCTCCAAGAAACGATAAAAATAATTAAAAAATATATTACAAAACTTAGATGTCAGTCAAATGGTCGGCTTACAAGAAAGAAATTATCTTAAACAATTAGGTGCCTCGACAAAATTGGTATTAAAATGTTTCTTTTGTAATATTATTTAAAGATACCGAGCCGCCCAATTAAGTGCTCATTCCGTTTGTCAGAAATTCTAACTTAAACATCGATCGCGCGGTTGGATCTCACAAGAGAGAAGCTAATGAGCATTTAATTTCTAACTGTTTAAAAATTAATTTGGCGCTGGTGGGGGGGGGGCTAGTTTAATAGAAGTGAATTTATACAATTTTTAGAGGATTCGAGAATTGGGAGGCGCTCTAGCTGCTAGCTGGCGAGACGCCACTCATCTCATAATGTCGGCGCCATTACGAACAGTAAAACTATTGTGTTGTTTATCACGTTGTAAATATATCGTAAATCTTCAATGGCTACTCGAATGCTCCGCGAAAAACACCTTTGTGGACGAAAGCGCATATATGCTCGGTGATCCGGAATTCGAGAAGAACTTCAATTGCAATATCGAAAAAACTTTAGCGAGTCCCAATCGAGGAACAGTACTTAAGGTAAAGGATTAAATTCTTTTATTATATACAATTTAATTCTTAATTGTATAATAAACAATAGCGATATTTTAAAAACGTTGGAAATAATGTTAGATTTTGTTTTTAATGTCCTTTCACTTTTCCACTCAAACAGGGTAAAATATTTTATGTCACACCGAGTGTGATACCAGCCCCTTCGGCAATCGCGGAAATAATAGAAAGTGCAGGAGGTACGATGGAAAAGACACGTAGACCAATCGCTCAGATACAAGAGATGAATGCTGGGAAATTAACTTATATTATCGTGACCCATGACAATGACCTCCATCTCCTTTCTGATGTCTTACGTGCAAATATCAGTAAGTAATCATAAATTAGCTTTTAATATTTTGTTAATTTTTTTGCACAAAGAAACTTGATTATAAAGAGAAGTTGGAAGTTATACAAAGTAGATATCATTAATAAAAGTTGCATTTTAAGCAATGTAGATATTAATAGAAAATAGTATCTTATTATGAATAATTTTTTTCATTTACAATTTTACAGATGTGTACAGTGCAGAAATCGTATTAGGCGCAGTCGCACGGCAACAATTCCAAACTGATACGAGTTAAATCTAAAATGTGCAGGTTACACTTTGCTATATTTTTATCCCTGTTATGGGCCTATCAATTCTTTAATGATTTATTTTCGAAACGGAAATTTTTGCTTACCTTCTGCAATGGGGACAATAAAGAACATAATTTTATGATACAAAAAGAAATTATTTTTACCCACGTCGTTTTCTGTCAATTGTATTTTGTATTAAAATCAAAATAATAAAAACGGAACTAGAAATATTTTTTTATAATCTTCAAAAGATATTGATTAAGCGTATAAGTATATTATATAACACATATCATGATATTGATTTATTCCTAATTAAATTAAATATTATAATTGTACTAAAATTGAAAGTTCACTATAAGATAATTTACATTTACATTCACTTATATACCTATTCTGTTTTATTATTGTGACAAATGTATTACAGGGGAAAATCAATTACGTTATTCTACACAAGTATCCCGAGCATTGAATAAACCTTACATAAAATGCTTGCTGACTAACACATTTTGTGCTCTGCAGCGAGAGCCGGCGTTACGTAGTAGAGATCTGCTCTCGAATCCAGGGTAGAAATTTGGCTATATCGACGTAGACGACGTACTTCGTGGAATCGCACAACATTTGATCGCCAGTTACCGATCGCGAAACGATGCCGCGCAGTTCATAACGGTTTGTAGTAGCGTTTAAAATTACCAGTCCGCTCCCGCTGTCACCGTTGCAAGGACTGCTTCCGTCTCGTGCACCAGCGCAAAAGGTGCGCTGCGAGGTGAGTCTAACGAAAGACGGATCGCTCCATAGACAGTCCTCCTATAATCGGCGCAATAAGATTGAATTATTATCTGCATAATGATAGAATTTGCCAATATTTCCTCGTATATCGTTATCGGAATTGTATTATTTCAAGAGCGTTCATAAAAATTGAACGCGTCTTTACCGCGTGATCCACGATCGCGCTTATCGAGTTAAAAGCAATCTGTATACACTCATCAATTTAACTCAAGAATTTAAACAAATCTATTTGTTATGGATATATGCAGCGCACAATCTTTATTACAGTACAAATATTACAGTTATAAGCGAAATCAAATGATATATCGCCCTTCGTTAATGATACAAAAATGTTTAAGAATTTTCCTTCCGCGATACGAATATTTCGGATTTCTTGTTATCGAGATACTTCCATTTTTCGGCTTAAAGAACCATTGGCAATTGGAATTCATTTCGAATATATTGATCGAACAACGTGAAACGTGAAAATCCTTACTTGACTCACTATCGGCGCCTTAACCATCCGTGGATCCTCGGTGTAAGGATGACCGAGCTCGTCTTGACCCCATCCCACGACAAATCCTGATCTATCGACAACGCTCTGAAGTTCGATCGGACCGGACCATAAACAAATAGGCTTGATGAAAGGATTATACTCGGCGGGCGTTCTGAGGATCAAAATCGCCATATCGGAGTCGCCGCTGGACGAGTGCGCGTAATCGGGATGAATCTTGTAGCTCGCGACATACAGATTTAGGGTTCCCTCCTCACGCCACTGGTGCAACTTAAATCGTCCCAAGGCCACCGTCAGCACATTAGAGGGTATGTCGTTATTGCTAGTGGTGTTGTGTTTCAAGCAGTGCGCCGCTATAAAAAGAAAATATAGGTATGCATGAAATACATTTTCTAACAATCCGCACTTTCCGGATGTTGGAAACATTCTGTAAATGTTTCCTGTATTATGCATATAATATTCTTTGGGATAATATTAAAATTGAATTAAATGCTTTAAATTAATGTGACAAAATAATCATGTGTATATACGTCAAATATTTATAATAATTACAGCGCGCTTGCAAAATTTTCTATAAATATCAACGTCCTATCGATTGAAGGACATCTTGTGCTATTCAAATATTCATTTCAAATACTTCATTGCATTCTCCGATTATATTCGGATGAATAGTAAATCTACGGAAATTTATGGAATCCTACTTTCTTATGCAAATATTATTGCTTTTATAATAGGTGCAAATATCTTGTTATAAAGATTTATTCTTTAAGGAAAAACAGATATAACGCGCAACAAGTTCACATTGTTTAATGTATAAAAAATAATAGTAATATAGAATTTCTTTCTCTTTTCGAAATACCTGTTAGAACATGCCTGGTTGTCAAAAGGCTACCAGCACACTGAAACTCGTATATAATTCTTACAATGAACAGTGCCACCACCCACGGCCATTGGCCAGGCAACGTCTTCTTCCCTTTAGTGATTAAAAGGTTTACATTCCCGGCGGCTTGATTAATGCGACTACTTATATCTCCGGCGCTCATCTGATAAATGCGACCGCATTCATTGCTGTTAATAATATCATTATTATTAGTAGAGTTATCGTTATTGAATGCCACTGTTGAATGCGGTGATGAACTCTTTTTATCATTATCAGTATTATCGTTATTATTAGTAGAGCTATCGTTATTGAATCCCATTGTTGGATCCCAAAATTGTAATGATGAACTCGTTTTATTCAACTCTTCTTGAGTGTTAGCGAATCCAATTCCTGTCGCCAATGTAGTGGTCTGTTGTCTGATGTAAATCCGGGTTGGGAAGTTTAGATATTCAAGAGGCGGGTTGGTCATACGGAACGCAGTATAGTTTCGATACAATGAATTTAGTGAAGATTCGTCTGGTGCATACACAATATGATTTAACTCGATAGTAGCGTTAAGCTTTCCACTTCCTGAAACAAAGCACAACATATACCTTTCAAATTGTATGTTCTTTTACAGTAAGAAAACAATTTTTTTTTTTAAGAGAACGAAATTATTTCTAACACCGGAAATAATCATGAGATCTTTTTTTATATGTATAAAGATAAAAAATGATATGTATAATAACAAGATAACTTTAATTGTTTTATTGAGTTTTATCTTCCTATTTATCATTACTGCCTTGGTTGAAAATTACACAAAGTCAGGCACAAAATGAGAACTAACTTATTGATATGATTTGAAAGAATGAATGTCTTGCTTCTATTTCCTCGAATTACTTATGACATTTATATTCAAGCAAATAAACGGTACTCACTATCGGGACCCGGACAATATCGTTCCTCGTTAAACCATATCGCTTCCACTGTTGGATACAATCGGCGCGAAATAAAATAAATATTATACAGCAAAGGTTTGCCTTGTTGAACAGCTCGAACGGATTCTGTTACAGATTTTGCCAAACTCAGTTCAGAGTAAACCTGAAGCATATTAATAATTATGCTATTTCTATTAATTATATGAATAGAGAATACTACCAGATAATAAATTAAATAAAAATTTAAAATAAAGTTTTTTAATTATTTCTGGATCATCTGTCTCAAATCACGAAAAAATTATACGTTCAGTTTCATTTTTTTAACATTGAACATATTAAAAAATCAAACAAATTACCGTTTCTACACAAAATTTATCAATTATATGCAATTATTTCAAAATGCACCATGTCTTTTAAGATAAGAAATTTTATTTCTTCGAAGCACTAAATTGCAGAAGCTCAACTAATTAAATTTTTCAGAAAAGTTTAGAAAAGAAACTTTTAGTTGAGTCCAACATGACAAAAATTCTTAGAGATCGCCTGTTAATTAATGCCATAAACTTATATGCTTACAAACTTCTATCCTATATATTTAGTAATCTTATATCTTGATAATAATAATAATCTTGCTTAGTATAATAGTTTTAAAAATACTTACCGACTCTGGTTTCTCATAGGGATTATCATTGATTTGTAGGGCCACTCTTAAATAGAATTCTTCATTTGGTTGCGGAGGTGGGATTTCAATATGTCCGAATACTGGCCCAGATTCGGACGCAAATGTAAAATAATCCAAGCAAGAATATGATTGTACTTGTACCACAGTATGAAGTAGATAAGACAGAAACGTAATCAAGATAGAAATTTTAATCATCTTCTGAAATTCTGTTGCAAAATAAAATACATGGTTTATAAATGTGAAGAATTTTTACAAATTATTTTTAGCTAATATTTGACATTTTAACTGTTATTAATTCGAAATGTTCAACATTAGCCTACATGGATTTTTCAAATCCAGAAAAAAATGTTTTTTGATCGTTTTGGTAAAAAAAAATTTTTTTAATTAGTAACTTATTTCAAAGACAACTTAAAAATATTGTAAATTATGTCAATGCAATTATATTAATGATTTTTAATATAACATAATTAATGTTCGTATATCTCATCAAATTTTGATATGTCGATAAGACAGAACTTCGAATATAGTGCGAAGTGATCTATTTCTATTAACTCTAAGTGAATCAGAAAAACTGTACATGTGTGTATATAATGTGTGTGTGTGTTTCCTTGTATATAATAATTTTTATTAATACAAAATTTTTTTCTTAATAAAATATAAATTAGATTACAATCATTTAAAATCTGCTACATATTTTAAATGATTGTAATCTAATTTATATTTTATCAAGAAAAAGATATTGTATTAATAAAAATTATTATAAATTTAAAATCTGCTACAGATTTTAAATGCATCAATTACTGAACACTGTACTCACTCTATAGTTGATAACTCTTGTTAGTTAAAAGATTAAACGTTATAAGTATATTATATCAATATGTCATGAGGAGGTCAGCAAAGATAGCAATTTTGTTCTTATCGCATTTTATTTGCTTCTGCACATGAACATTTTTATCTTAAGAATATTTCGAATAAATTTGCTTTTAAAAGGTCAAATAATCTAATTGCATAAAGTCTTTTAAAAGAATTGAACGATTCAAGTTTAATAAGCTTTCTAAACAATCCGCTTTGAGGAGAAACATTTTTTTTATATAAAACTATTGATGAAAAGAAGATTATTATACTTAAACAATTACTTTGAAATTTGAACGAAACGGCAAATATTTAAATTGTTTATATTAATAAACAGATGTTAGAGAATAAACAGGTAAAGAATCGATAAGTGAATTGTGAAAAGTGAATATATGTATCCAATCAAGCAGGTAATAAAGAAAACTGGAATTTTTAATGATGCATCAAACTTCACAAACTCGACAGCGTTCCTGCTGAAGAATCTCTTGAGTTTCATCAAAGAGACGTCGAATCTCGGTAATTTATTTAAACATACGTAAATTCCATCCACGAATCGCACAATAAAACTCACACGTTTTGGAAGAATCGCTATAATCGTTACTTATATTTTTAGATGTTTTGGACTTTTTAAGAAAGAACTGTAAAATGAGCACTTGCGGGCGACTCTCACACATTCTACGAGCACATTCGTTTTGTACTTTTATTATTTAATCGTGAAACCGGTTGTATAATCATCGTGTAGATTCATTGTGTAGATTCATGGCTTTATTTAACGGATTTGAAAATTATGTCACATCTGTGAGAGTTGAGTTATACAACTGCATGTCCACCTTCACATTATCACTTATTGCTTTACTATATTTCTTTATTATCGATAGCAGTATTATTTATTTCTCGCGTTTTTATCGAAGTACTATATATATGTACTACGTTTTTTTTTATTGCTAGAATACACTTCAAGCGTTTCAAATTACATTTCTTCAATATCTTCTCATTTACGAATTTTTATTTATTTATTTATTTATTGTTTATTCTTATTTATTTCTGACACTTTCTTGAGGCATTCTTAACAAAAGTATTCTTAATGGTCCGAAATGCCGCGGCGACCGACTTCGAATATTTAATATGTTAATCCTCGGAAATTTACGCACTTACAGCCTCCCGAATCCTCACTGACCAGTTCTCTATGAAAACGCCTCGAAACACGTTTACAATTTCCGTATAATGTAGATGCGTTCGAATGGTGCGGTAGTGGGATACTGGAGTCAAGGAGATCGTGAATCGAGTTGTCGTTTAGTTTGTGTTCGAAGAGGCATACAAAACATCGTAGACGAATGCAACGAGGAAAATAAGAGATAAATATGTCTATTTTTCTTATCATCCACTCTTATTGGACGATTTCGCGAAAAGGAAGAAGACTAGGGATTCCTTGTATGCACATTTAATAAGTCAACCGGTTCCACGTGTCACCATCACCGCGACTATAGCAGACTTATTAATATATTCTTTTGATGACGTACGTATATTTGTTTATGGGAAGAAAAATCTGTTACATAATAACTGTTCTTTTTTCTCTTTCATTTTTTCTTTATTTTTGAACTTTTTTTATTTTCACCCACATTTAATCAGCGTCCGTAATGTATTCTTTTTTCGTCATCTGTGATTAATCAAAGAACTAAAATCTTTAGTTAATTAAGCTTTTCAGCTATTTTAAAATTCTTCTTATTATATATTATTATTTGACAAAACCTTCAATACTTTTTTTTAATATATGGAATATATTTAATTGTGTGTTCAATTAATAAATAATTTTTTTTCAATGCAACGTTATGTAGCATTGCAATATTAAAGATATATATGCAACAAGTTTGCAAAAACACAAATAATATTTAATGGTAAATAATAAATTTACGAAATATATTTAATCTGGATTAATTTAGATGGAAAAGACAACTAAAATAATTTTTTTGAATATTTTTCTATTTTTGAGAATCTTTTGCAATCAGATTTTATTAATAAACCAATACAAATACTTGAATATCTGTTCTAAACGAGAACGATGCAATTATCAAGTATAATTTACTCGATCGAAAGAGCGCAAAAATGTGTTCATTATCGTACTAACTACGGTACGACAAAGCACCAGCGCCGTAGCCATGGTAAGCCACATTGTCAGCAAATTGTTCGGCTAAACGACGTAGATTATCGTCGACACCGCCGGCACGTTCTATCATCTGCAACAACTGAGCTAGCAATCTACCCCTGGTGGGATGGGCATTCAAATCAACTTGCCCTATCTTCTTCTCCAAGTCGTCGTGCGACAGAAAGCTCTCCAAGATTCTGTATTCGTCCGTGTAGATGTCTAAGTTCGGCAAAGCCTGAAGAAGATCCTTGACGTCGACGTCGCCGATCGCCATCTTTCTCCCGCTTTCGATTTCCACTTGAGTAAAATTAGCCAAGTACGTTTCCAGTCGACTGGCGCATTCGGCCTGGCCTTGATCGATTCTGTTGCCGAACGTGGTTATCAGCTCGGCGACATTCATCGACAGAACGCCGTACGGAAGAAGACCCGAAGTTAGCAGAGCCTTCAGCGTTTTCAGCGCGGCGTTCATCGGCCCGCTGATGTTCTCCGAAGAAGCGAAAGCAAGTGCCTTCTGCCAGACTTCCGGCTTCACCGTTCGGTCCGTAGCCACGTCAATAAGGAGTCTTCGAATCCTGACGGAGTTCTCTCTTCTGGCTATCGCGGAGAGAAGCGGTGCGGCAATAATGGAATTCCTCAGAAGTTGCCAACGCTTTCGGCCATTTTTCAAAATCAGCTCACCGTAGACGCTGTCTATGACGTTCGACATTTCGCCCCGATGAGTCTGCTGACGCCTGAGCTGGCTGACGAAAGCCAGCAACAGATCTTTCCAGAGCGTGTACTCGAAGGGCGAGAATTGCTCTATGACATCCCGTACATCCGTATTGTTCTGCTGGATCGTAGACAGAAACGCGATGCCGTCTTTCGACTTGGAGATCGTCCTATCCCGAGATATCAGCAGAGTGTAGTTCAGAACGTCGTTCTGAAAGAAATCGGCGAATTCGGCGGATCCTCGACACTCCGAGGGCCCACGCAAGAATGGCAGCAACACGTTGGCGGCTGTCAACATCTCGTTCTGCAGGGGTAGACTCGCGACGGCGTTGGCGACCAGCGCGTACGGATCGGAGGACACGCTGAAGCCGGTCAATTCGCGCTTGCCGCGCGTTTGCAGATGCTCGACGAGAAGCACGACCGATTCTCTCACCTCCGCCGTCGCGTCCGGTATCCGTAGATTCGCCAGTATATAAGCGATCAGCTGAGAACGCGGAGGGATGACTTGGTCGTGGATCAAAGTCGCCGTCTCGCCGACGATCTTCGGCCAGGGTCCTCCGAGGTCCTTGACTGGCGCGCGGTAGGTCAGAGGCGAGGCCGCTTCCTTCACCTCTCTCGCAGTGATCTTCTCCAGCGGGTCAGCCTTCGGCGGTCCAAAAGTGGGTCTGTAGATCTCATTGACGTCCAAAAGACCTTCCGACAGCGATCGCCGTATCAAGGATATCACCGGCAGCAGGTACACGGGCAAGTGATTCTCCATGGACCCAAGAATACTGTCTATCTGCTCCGCGATGGGCGCGTACGTTACAGAAGGTAAGACATCGAGGCATTCGAGCAGCGAACCGCCGTTTTTTAAATAATCCTCGACGATCTTTACGGAGTGGTGCATCTCGTAACTCTGTATCTGTAACCAAAAGTGAACCAAAAGTGAGTGGAGAGCGCAAATTTTGACATAAATTTTGTACTTACACAAAATATGACAAAACTCTCAAATGCAATTATTTAAAAACAATAAGAATAGTAAAAGTTGACATTACTTATTATATATTAGGTGAAAATTATCGAGATGAACACTAGGACCATACAAGCTTCACGATTAGATGGGACTTAATTATATGTATATTTGTTCTGTTAACTTATCTCAAAAATGCATCTCCAGCATCGCAATCCTGGATCTCCTTCCAGACTTCTTCCACAAAGACAACCTCTTATTGTTAGACCTACTGTTTTTCGAAAAGCAAAACTTACTGGCAACTCGTGAAGAACTTTTCCGAGATTGTGCTTCAGCCGTGCTGCCGTTTTTAATTTTAACGTCAGTTTTCTTTCCAAAAACGAGGAATATCTCCCGGCATCGTCGAACGATTTTGCAAGGAGAAATCCGAATAGATAGGTCAGTATACCGTAGTAGAGCCACATTCTTCGTGCCGAGAGCTGATTCGATCGTACTGTCGACGATGTTGAAGGCATATGTAAAAAGTATTGTTTGAATCTGTTGTACGTGCGCGATTGTAAATGACTTTTATTAAAGCGTACAGGTGCGATAGCGCGAATTGAGTACAGCAATCGGGAACGGTATAAAAATTCGTGATTACGGATGTAGGCAGCATTAAATCATGATTCTGTCACGAATCTCTGTGGACTGCAATTTCAACATTTCTTTCTGTTAGTCGTTCTCGTCCGATTATTATTTGTAATATATTAGAAAAGAATAATGAGACGCATGCGTTTCTAAAAAACTTAATTTTTATTAGTGTGTGTACTTCTAAATCTTTTTTAAGATTTTACAAAGCAATATACGGTGTAAAAGGAGTATGCAAGTATCTTTGTAGTTTAATTTTATAAGCTTAAACAATATTTTACACATATTAAACAGGTAGAAATACATAAATTACTAGAATTATAATATACTGCATATATTTAGTATATCTATAAATCATGAGCAGAGTTGCGGGCTATATTTTTTGTACTTTTCATAATGTTTCAGAATGTAAAATGAATTAAGAATAACGTTACATATAATATGGCAGGATATTATAAGTATATATTAATATACGCATTATAATGTATACAATACATTATAACATGTGTCACAACAAAAACACATATATGCTTTATTCTCAGTTGTTAATAAAAGTAAATAATTATATTTATCCACATATATACTTTAACAAATTTTAATATTAACGTTTTAATAATTTCATCACGGTAAAGGAATCATAAAAACAAAAAAGCAACCTCGTAACTTAAATTTTCATATATATAAATATAAATGATGTTACTTTAAATAAATCTACAAAAACTTGCCGATCAGCACATTTTGTTCTTTGCAGCGAGAAATCAGCGTTACTTAGTACAGATCTGCTCTTGAATCCAGGGAATATATTTAGCCACGTCGATGTAGACTATGTACTTCTTAAGATCGCACAAATAATCACCGTTAGTCATCGAGCGCGAAACGATACCGCGTAATTGATAATGACCTGTGATATTATAAAGCACCAGTCCGGTCCCGCTGTCACCGTTGCACGGGCCACTCTGGTCTCGCAAACCGGCGCAAAGGGTGCGATCCGAGGTGAGAGCGATAAAAACTTGGCTCTGGAGACAAATCACCTGTAATTTGCACAAATTATCACTATTTGCAATACTTGGTTCTTACAATGATTCGACGCCGATTTGACGTTTCCTGACAACGTTATAATGAGTATCTCGAAATTGTGTTATTAAGAACATTCACGCGAAAATTCGTGTTTTTTTTTGCGTGATCAATCGCGCTTATCAATATTAATTGGCATGCATCAACAAATCCATTTATTACAGATATGTACAACAAATCTTGTTATTAATATTACCTTGTCATAGCAAGCAATTAATTATGTAATTGTAAACGTAGCGAAATCAAATGGGAGTATCGAAGGACACAAAACGAAAAATTAATTCACTTTTTGCGTTTCTTACCTGACTCACGATTGGCACCCTCGCCATTCGTGGTTCCAAGGTGTAAGCATTACCCAGTTCGTCTTGGCCCCATCCCGCAACGTATCCCATCCTAATGACGATGTCATTAAGATCAGTTGAATCGGCCGGCCACAAGCAAATAGGTCTGATAAGCTGATTGTACTCGATGGGCGTTCTGAGAGTCAAAATCGCCAGATCGGAGCCGCCGGAATCATCGTGCGTGTAATCGGGATGAATCCTGTAGCTTGCGACTTCCCGATTCACGGTTCCCCTCTGACGTCACTGGCGCAAATTAAATCGTCCCAGGGCCACCACTAACAGGTTGAGAGGTATGTCTATGCTGGATAACTTCAAGCAATGCGCCGGTGTAAAAAGAAGATTACATGCATGAAATACATTTTTGAATAATCTCTGTGTCTCGGAAAACCTATCTAAATAATAATTCAACGATATTTTCGAGGTGCACATTCTAATAATTTTACTATTAATAATATCAAACTTTTTTTTTTCTTCAATCTTTTAGAGTACCTGTTATGATATGTTTGGTTGTAGGTCTTAAGATTTACAGGTTTCCGCTCTTAATCTTGTTTGCACGTATCTATTTCTATATCTTTAATTCGATTATAGCTAATTGTAAGTATCGTTTGTCAGATAGCTGTTCGCATCAACAATATTTTGTTCATAACACAATAATTTTTTGTTAATGCAAAATTACTTTTTTAGTAAGATAGATTAAATTGGATTAAAAAACTTCTACGTGCATTAAATCTTATTACAATACTGTTAGTAAATTCTGTGTACGTTCTACTCGAGATAACCCTTGCTAGTTGAGAAATTAAATGCTTCATCCACTACCGATATGTCACAAAGGTCAGTGAAGATAACATTTGCTTTTACTGCACTTCATTTTTCTGGTGACATAAAGATTTCTGTTTTAACGACAATTACAATATTTCAATCTGCTTTTAAAAGATTGATCAATCTAATTGTGTATTCAATTCTTTTAAAAAATTTGAGTTATTCAAATTTAATTAAATTTCGACAAACAATTAGCTTCAAGCAGAAAATGTAAAGATAAAATTTATTCAAATGCGAATGCCAATCACGAATTGAACAATAAGACTCACGTTTCGAAGGAATCGTGTTTTTTAATTGCTAGTTTTATTTCTTTATTTAATCGATGACATTTACACACGTAGAAAAATCCATAAAATGATTTGCGAACGAATTAAAGTATGTCCTGCACATTCGGTGAACATTCGACGAATAATTCATTTTGCACTTTGATTTTTAGTAGTCGGATCGTCAGTAACAAATTATATATAATCACTGCTCCATTAATGACCTTCAAGTATGAATGAGAATCAACGTGGACTCTTTTATATAACTGTCTACCTTTACTTTTATTATTCGACTTATATCTCTATATTGTCGAATATTGATATCGTTATCTTTTAGTTTTATTGGAATACTAGCATCTTGCTATCGATCCAGAATGTTTTTCAAGCGTTTCGAATTATATTTCTTTAATATATCCTCCGCGTTTATGTATATTCTTACTTACTTATTTATTATTTATTCCTATTTATTCTCGAGGCACTTTTGAGGCATTCCGGCGAAGCACTCTAAAGCGTTTCTCGATGGTCCGAAATTCCCAGTGAAATTCAACAGCAATCGGCTTCAGATATTTGTGTTAAATCTTGGAACTACACTTTCAACATCTTGTTGAATCTTTATTAAATCACAGACTGATCAGTTCATTATCTCTTCGAAACACGTTTCCGCGCCGGAGATGTGTAGTGGGGCAGCGACGTCGCGAGGTAATCATGAATCGAGTTGTATTATTCCATTTATCTACAGCAGCGCGCGGAGAACATCTTACGGCTCCGACATGCTAATGCGATGTTTGTCGCGTACACGATATTCAATGAACGCATAGCTTTTGGTTGAAAATATCGGCAAAGCTAAATAGTCATTTGATTATAGTGTGCTAAAGCCATTAGGCTGATAATTGCAGAGAAAATAAGATATTTCTGGGAAAATCTTTTTTCCTACATGATATTACGTGCACGGAAAGAACGATTTTGCTGGAAAGTCTAAAAATTTTTCTAAACACAGATCTGAAAATAATTCTTGTTAAATAATCAAAATAATTTTGTTGAAAAGTAAAAAATGATAAGTATTTTTGACTTTTCAATAAAATTATTTTGATTGCATAACAAAAATTATTTTCAGATCTGAATTCAGCAAAATCGTTCTTTCCGTGTAAGAAGACAAAAATTAGGAATCCTCATAAGTCGAAGACAGCGGATAATGCCGATGTACAAAGAAAAATATAGGATTTAGATTACTCGAAGTTGCGTAAAAATTTAATGATATAAGTATAACATAAATTTTGAGCATTCCATTTGAGTCGGCAAAAATTTAGCGAAATCTAATTTTAAGTAGAAAACAACTATTTTTGAAGTCGTTTAAGGATTTGCCGTTAAATCGTGACCTTGTCATGAAGCGATGTGAATTGAGATTCAATATTCCTTTCTTTTAGTCTTTCTCGCCTGATTATTACTTATAACATCCTAAAAAAGATAACAAGGTTACAAAAAATAACGCGTATATTAAAAAAAAGAATCAATTTTTATTAACACATCTAAATATTTTTTAAGACATAAAATAGTACACATAATAAAATAATATAAAAAAATAATCTGTACTGTATAAAAAGAGTGTACACATAATCATAGTTTAACTTTGTAGTTCAATTTTACAAGATTAAATAATATTTTTATACATATTAGACAGGCAAAACTTAAATCGTTAAAATTATATTTAATAGATTTCTATTTAATATATGTATTTCTAGTCATGAGTAGAATCGTCGATATCTTTCTATTTTTTATAATGAATTTTATAATGAATTATAATTGATTCTTTATAATATAAAACGTTGATAAGGCGTTTAATAAATTAAGTAATATATGACGGAATAAGCACATATATTATTATAACATCGTGTCATGATATGATTTATTCTAAATTATTAATAAATCCACAGTGATAGGTATGTTAGAGTTACATTAATATTACGTACTTTATATATTTCGCTTTATTGTCGTGATAAATGCATTACGATAAGAGGAATCACCGTGAAGAGTCAAACTCGTAACTTTAATCTTTACGTCGTCATATAATATATAAATGCCGTGACTTCGGATAGACTTTATCTAAAAAGCTTGTCTACCAGTACATCTTGCGTTCTAAGGCGAGAAACTATCAATACGTGGAGATCTGCTCTTGAATCCAGGGTAGGTATTTGGCCACGTCGACAAAGACGGTGTACTTCCTGAGATCGCACAATGGTTCACTGCCGAGCAGCGATCGCGAAACGACGCCGCGTAACCGATAACGATTCGAGGTAGGATCGTAAAGCACCAGCCCGCCCCCGCTGTCGCCGTTACAAGGACCGCTCCTGTCTCGCATACCGGCACAAAAGGTGCGGTTTGAGGTGAGATTGACAAAATGCTGGTCGCTCCAGTGACAGTCCAGCTGTAATTCATCCAACAACGATGGCTTTTCATTATTTGCATGAATTTGATTTTACTTGGTACAGCGGTAGCGCGAAATCCGCTGGCTCGACGCTTCCGCGATATTGTCAGCGTCTCGGAATTGTATAAAATTATGTTACTTCAACAACATTCACGAAAATTTGAAAGTGCATCCTTACCGCGTGATCAATGATTGCATTTATCGATTTACAAACATTTGTCATTTTAGGTGTGCAATTATTTCTGATAAATCTGTCCATTATATTATATATATGCAGCGAATAATAATATTGTACATGTTAAACTGGGCAAACGTAGCAAAATTAAATGGAGTATCACATTAACAATGCAAAAAGCCTCTGAGCATTTTCTTCCAAGGCAAAATTCACGGAGAACGGAAAATCGGCTTTCGTGCAAGTTCTTACCAGACCGACTATCGGCATCATCGCCATTTGCGGTTCCTCGGTGTAACGATGGCCCTCTTCGTCTTTGCCCCATCCCACGACGTATCCCACTTTAGTGATGACGTGCCGAAGATCGGTTGAACCGGTCCACAAGCAAATAGGCTTGATGAAAGGACCAAACTCGACGGACGTCCTGAGGTACAAAATCGCTAGATCGGAGTCGCCGGTGTCCTTGTGCACGTAATCGTGATGGATAACGTATCTTGCGACTTCCCGGTTCACGCTTCCCTCCTCACGCCACTCGTACAATTTATATCGCCCCAAGGCCACCACCAACACATTAGAAGGTATGGTGTCATTATTAAACGAGCTTATCTTCAAGCAGTGCGCCGCTATAAAAAAAAAAATATATATATATATATGAAAAACATTTTCTAATAATCTAATAAGGTAGAGTATAGAGAGTAATAAACAATTTTTTTTAACATACCTGTTAGAATATGTCTATTTGTCAGAATGGAACCACCGCACTGAAATTCATATTCTACCGTTTTAACGATAAAGAGTGCCGCCAGCCACGGCCATTGGCCAGGCAATGTCTTCTGTCCATTAGAGATCAAACGATTTGTGCTTCCAACGAGGCTGCTGATACCGCATTCGTTGTTATTATTGTTATTATCATTATAATTATTAGGGTGTAGGACTGGTCGGACCGAGGTTGGATTTATGTATATATTATTATTATTATTGTTATTATTATTATTATTATTATTATTAGGTTGTAGGACTGGTCGGGCCGGGGTCGGATTTCTGTATATATTGTTGTTGTTATTGTTATTAGATTGTGGGACTGGTCGGGCTGGGGTCGGATGTCTGTATATATTGTTGTTGTTATTGTTATTAGGTTGTGGGACTGGGGTCGGATTTCTGTATATATTGTTGTTGTTATTGTTATTATTATTATTATTATTGTACAGTGTATCGTATACTGTTTGTGCCGTGGCATTGGGCCCCTGCAGGAATTGGTTGGAATTAGAATATTGTGGGACTGGCTGTGGAATTGATTGTGGGGCCGATTGTGGGACTGATTGTGGGATCGATTGTGGGACTGATTGCGTCGCGAATTTATTTAAAAATATGTTGCCGCCAAACCGAGAAGGAGCAACAGTGCTGGGTGTCTCCGGAGGACTCTGATGACGTTTCTGTGTCGGTCTCGAACGATGTGATTCATCTGAATCAATGCTATCGATCAATGGTTGGGAGTTTTGTGAGAGCGTGTTTACCAGATAAAAATTATGTTCCAACGTGATAGTAGTTACGATACTTTCTCTTGCTGAAACAAAACACGACGATGCCATTTAAACCGCGCGTTTTTTTTAGAGTAAGAATACTGAGTGTTTTAATGAGAGTTTTATATCTTCCAACTTAACTTTATCGGTAAATTATGCATAATCAGATATAAAATAATAATTAATTTGCGACTGAAAACAATGAATGTCCGTGATTTTGTTCTTGTTTCCTCGAACATATATTGCTTAAATAATGTATTGTCTTTCAAGCAAATACCTACGGTACTCACAATCGGGACCCGAGCAATATTTTTGACCATTGAACCATATCCCGGACAATGTCGGAATCGGTTGACGTAAGGGAAACTCAACATGATACAACAAATTCCTGCCCGCTTGAACATCTCGAGCAGCTTCCTCTTTTGATCGTGCCAATTTCAGTCGACCGACGTATGTCTGAAAAGCATCGATGATTAAACTATTTTTGTTTACTATGTTTATGTAAATATATATAGAGAGTGCTGTCAAATAACAAATCTCATATGAAAATGTAATCATGCTTTTACCAGTATTAATAAAGTGCAATGTATAGTTTTCGAGAAATAAGGGGGTATCTCGATCTTTAGAAGATCTATATCAGTATCGGCGACTTTCCTCTAATCATTTTTGTAAAAATTACATTTTGGTAATTCTACAAAAATACATATGTAAACTTCACTTTTTTCATTATTAATAATATAGAAAAGGATACTCACCGAGGGTAACTCAGCGGGGACATTTAAGATCACTCGCAAATGGAGTTGACTTATTTTTGGCGGGGACCGAATTTCGATCTGTCCTATCGTTTCCTGTGTTCCCGGTTTGATTATATATGTGAAGTATTCAGGACACGGCGATTTCTGTCCTTGCACTAGCGTATAAAATAGCTGCGGTAGCAACACGATCAAGATACAAATCTTGCCCATCTCGTAAGGCTCTGTTACAAACTTAACAAAGTACATAAATGGTTTACAAATGTAATGTAATGTAATTTGTTTTTAATATCTTTTTAAAAATTGTATTTAATGATTTTAAAATAGCTATTATTAATCGTCACTTAGCTTTACATAAATACTATTATGTAATTTACATTTACATAATTAATATCCATACATCTATTTGTCGTACATGAAATTTTGATATGTAGATATGTAGATAGGATCAGAGAACAGGATTACGATACATAGTAGAAATGATTTATTACACACTAATTTATTACGATTCACCACGCTCGAACAAGGAAAAACTTATGACAAACTTAGAACGTGCAGATAAGGTCGAATATGTTTTGAGCAGAATGTCATGAATATGATAAACTTGTCAGTATTCAAACATAATGGAATGCTGTGTATCTTTTAACAATGACTTAAAGAGAATACTCCACTCACAGTCAGTTGAAATTTTAAAATCATTTTATTCTATCAAAATTTTACGAAATTTCTACATAACATTTTTTTCGCTACATAACAATTTTTCAAGTATCGTAATAAGTAATTTAATGGATGTTAAAATGTTATCAATATAAAGACCGTCTAATCCTTGTATCTATTTATGTTTGTATAAACTACTGCGGTTTTTTAATTTATAATTGAGTTATCGTAAGCTGTTCGTGCCAATAATATTTTGCTCGTACCATAATAATTTTTATTAATGTAAAATTATTTTCTTGATAAAATAGATTAATAAATGGATTAATCAACTGATGTATGCATTAAATGCATCTATTACTAAACTTACTGTTTATCTTCTACTCGATAATCCTTAAAAGTTCAAAGTGCTTTACTTACGTCAATACGTCAAGAAGAGGTACAAAGACTATTCACTTTTATTTATAATTTCATTTACTTTAATCATTTCTGTTTTAATTAAATGATATTTTATTCGTTCTATGTTTAAAAGATTAATATCTAATTGCATTCAATTTTGTTACAAGAATTGAACAATTAAAAGTTAATAATCTTGCTAAATAATTAGCTTCAAATGAAAAAGATGTCTTAATACGAAAGTGGAAAGAGAAATTTTATGTAGATCCATATAATATTGAGGCTCTCGAAACGACGAATGCTTAAATCATTCATATTAGTAAATAGAAAGTTTGGAATGTTAGTGACAAAGCGATGTAGCACAGAGGGTCGATAGCAAATATATACGATATATGTATTCAATCAAGAAGCAGACAATAAAAGTAGGAATTTTAATGGCAAAACTCACTTTCTCAAAAATTCGATGCTGATGTTCCTATTGGACAACACCCTCAGACTTTGTAGAAAAAAAATACAATAAACATATCTCTAGATATAGTAAACAGATAATTTATTTAATCATGTTTCCAGGCACGTTTCCAGGATCACACTTAGAAGGAGAACGATTCCAAAAAGCAAATTGACACCTGCGCGCGAATCAGAGTATCTTGAGCACATATTCACCTTCCACCTTGATTCGTTTAACAGTCGTCGAACCGGTAGTAGCAGGGATCACGTATAATTACCACTTCATTAAATGGATTTTAAAATCTGGTAAGAATTGACGTAACTCCCGCATATATAATTGTCCGCCTTTGCACTTGATTACATCGCTTTTTTTTTACTATTGGTATCAATCGTTTATCATGTTTTCATTAGAACACTGCATTTTTTAATTAATCGTTAGAACATGTTTTAGCAAAGCGTGTCGAGTTATACCTCTTCAATACAGTCTTTGTTCACATATTCTTATTCACTAATTTACTAGTAATTTCTATTTTTTCCCCGAGGCACTTTTTTTCGGCACTCCGCTTCTCTGTGGTCCGAGAAGTCCCTGGGCAGACGCCGCGCCGCGACAACCGGATGTTCAACGTGCTAATCCTTGGTACGCTACGCTCTCACGGCCTCGTCGAACCTTCGCAAGACTGACCAGTTCTCTACCGAAACACGTTTACGGTTTCCGCGCCGAAGAAGCGCTCGAATGATGTGCGCGGTAGTGGGGTTTACCCGCCAGTCGAGACGACCATGAGTCGGGTCGTATCATTCAACTTGTCCGTGGCAGAACATCTCGCGCGCAGAACGTCTCAGGCTGACGAACGTAACGAGGAAAAGTGCGCCTGGAGCACCCTCTCCTCGTCGGATGCTGTTGTCGAGGAAGGCTGGGGAATCCGCGGACGCACGTCCGATGAGTCAGCTCTCCGCGTGTCGCTTTGCTTGTCATCGCGACTGCGATCGAAGCAAACCCGAAGACTTATTAGTATAGCTTTTCGATGACGCGCATATCCATCCAATTATGCAAGCGCGCGCTCGAGAAGTCACTACCACGCAATAATTCTTTTGTATTTTTTTTTCCTTTTTCTTCTTTATTTTTTGCTTGCCCTTCTTCTTCTACACCCGTAGTGCAGTTTCGTCATTTGTGATCAATCAAAAGATTAAAATCTTTAGTCAATCGTATTCCTTTTAAACCGGATGCGTCAGAGTCTACAAAATAAGACTTTTAGTATTTCCATTGATTTTTCTACCTCATCCTTTATGATATTTCTTTTACATCAAGCTTTAAACGGGCAAATTTTGCTCTTTTCTTTTTGTATGCGTTTCGAGTCTAAAAATGTTGAGAAAGGATCGCATTTATCTCTTGAAAGAAAATATGAAATAATTGAGCGTGTCTTTCGTACAAAACGGAAAACGTGTGTATTTCTTCGAAACTCGTTTGCAGCGAGCATCGGTGAAGAAGAGAAGAACAAGAAAAACAAGATGTTTAACGTATATAGATGTCGAGTGAGTACGATAGGTAATCCGAAGAATTCAGAGATCGTACAGACACGTCGATAGAACGCGCTACGTGCCGTACTACATGTGTACTACAAAAAATTAGCAAACAGAGAGATGCAGTCATCACAGAAATACCTCTCACCGTAGGAGTATAAAAGTATAAAAATAGCAAACAAAACGGAATAAATCATTAAAATACAACTCGTCGTTTACACACTCGTTAGCATAAGCGGGAAATCTCATTCACGCTGGATTTGGAACTTTTTAATGGAAGACTCTTCATGCAATTGCAGATTTTTGTTTAGCGAATACATTAAAGTAAAATAGTAGATTGTTATTTTTTTTTTTCCAAAAAAATTCTTATATAAAGTTCAATGTCTCAATTATTAGAAAGTATTAATTTCAAAAAGATAATTGGTTCTATTTTAAACGTAATATTATGGAAAGTAAAGCGAGAATACATAAAATTGTTAATCCTGTTCAGATTTTACCTCGCTGGACTTTCGATTGCAAAAGTGGAAATAGATTAGCTCGTGGTTATATTTCTGGCACGGACGAGAAGGAAGGCGACGCGAGTTGGAAATGTATATATTGGCAAGGAAGAAGATTATCTTGTAACTAAACTATTTTCCATTATTATTAAGAGTTTTGATGAAAACAATCTAAATCTAATGTTTGAGAAAATTAATATATAAGTTATAATAATATTATTAATTATACATTTTATTGCGATGATAGCAAAATTTTTAACGATTTTGAAGTTATGCTTAATTTCGCCAAGCAATATTTTTTAAAAATATTCCATATATATATATATATATACATACATATATATAAATAATTGGCCAAAAAGATTTTGGTGTCCTTGTTTCCTCGAAACAGTGAAAGAGGATTACTTAAAATTTGATGATCTATACTAAGAGATTAATGATTTGCAACTTGTTCGTTGGGATGTTCGCATACGTGATGTTGATTCGCCTCCAAATTATGCAAATTACATCTGTTTACTTGTTTGCCTCCAACACAAAAATTATAGAATGTAAGATAACATTTCAAATAACTAATATCTCGAATAGCTTAACAATAAATATACAAGAGAAATAAAACAACAAGCTCATCCGTTTTGTATAAACTATATAATAATTTTTAATAAGAACTTTCTAAAGAAACATTAGATAATATTGAATTGCATTCTCTCGCAAGGGAAAAATTAATATAAGAGACATTAATTATTAAATTTAAAATGTTATGTTTTTAAAAAATATTATATTGCCCTTTTTATCATTTTTTTACTTATCAATTTTCGTACCAACATTATCAATAAAATTGATTAATCGATATAATAATTTCGATTTTAATAAAGGAACTTTTTTTAAAATGTTCGATAATTTTTCACACAGTAATGTTATATAAAATTTCAGACATTACTATCGAATGTGATTATTACTTTGAATGTAAAGGTTTACTTCGTATTTGTGTTCCTCATTGACGTCACTGTGCACACATTTCGCATTGCAACATTACAGTACACGTCAAACTGTGACGTCTGTCAGTTAAAAGTTCTTAGAGACTGTCAAAAATTGCATATTGTATTTATAGATTTTACTTGTCAGCGCAATGTTCCTGAGAATTCCGCAAAATTTACAATTTTCCCGTTAATCTACATAGGTATATTCTCTCAGTTAATGCATATCAACGTTTGCGAAATAGTTTCACTTGTGTAATAAGCTAATCAGGATTTTCCCATATATAATGTAATACGTATACATTTGTAATAAAAAAAAAAAAAAAATAAAGAATATAACATGCAACCATATCTTTTTAAATGCAGATTATGTAACTGACTAACCCGTTTATGAGGTATTTAAACTTTAACATTTTTAAATGTAACATTTCAATTTAGCAATTCGAGGTAAAAATGAACATATTTTCCTAACAAATTTTTAGTATCCATCGGAATGAATTCTTCAAGAATTATTTGCATTTCGAGTAACTGATTAGACGAATAATTTTTCAATTGTTCATTTCGCCTCTAATAATTTCTAAATAACGCGTATCGAATCGTGACGTTATCCTGAAAGATATTACGTAGTAATTGTAAAACGTAAACACAGAAGTATTACTACAAAAGATATCTGCTAGAATATTTGCTGCAACACATCTTGCGTTTAAAACATAAACGCACTATAAAACATATAACTTTTACAAGTAATATTAGTATTTTAATATACTCGCTTTAATTTTTTTAAATTTAATATACCTGTATAAGCATAATTTTTGTGTAAGTTTCGCAACAGTGAAAACACATTTTAGATAAAGATAATTTGATTAATTTTTCTTCTACTTCTTTATGTTGGTTCTAAGAACATTATGCGGAAGAGCCGATCGTAAAATGATCACTAAATATTTCTCGCGTTTGTAACATGAGTTGTATTAAATCATTTTACAAAATATACACAATTTCTTGTTACCATGTGTATGTTGTCATCTTCGTCATTATAAAGATCGAGAATAGAAATGATCAATACCGATAAATATCCTAGTATGTACTAATCAGTCGAAGTTATTATTTTTCATGTATACCTTCGTGTGTGTATTATATATATTATTTTGTCACGCACAGAATTACTAGAATCTACATTGTGTCTAAAATTAATCAAATTTTCTTCTAGCAATTCCAAGTAAATTCCTTTTGATTGAAAATTTGATTTCTTTCGCCTTATTTTTATAACATTCTGTTTGTAATCTCTCAAAATTAAAAATATCTTTATCATAAAATCTAAAATTATAATTAAGTTATAATCATCAAAGTAAAGTATTTGTTAATTTAAAATTATTAAAAAAAAGTTTTCATAATAGCTTCAAAATTTAATGTAAATATATATGTATTTTATATGTATAATACATAATATATCATACATGTATAATCTATGATCTGTTGCAATTTTTAAAAATAAAATAAAAATCTGCATTAATTATACGATACAAAATATTTATCCATTGAATATAGATATGCACCAAAAATTGTTTATCAGCAGTATTGAGAAGTGGATGTGAATACGTAGTTTATATCCGCTTTCTCAGTTGGCGGTAGTGTACAGGAGATGTAATGATTTTACGAACCGAACGTGACGGCTTTCTGCCATCTATACATATATTATATTACATTATAATTATATTATAATATAATAATTATATTATGATATTATATAATTATATTATAATAATTATATTATGATAAATTGCGAGTTTCTCTCTGCAGATATCTTTTAAAGTAGAAATTTGGTTTTCGAAATAGAACGTACTGTAATACAACATAAATTTTGATATTTATTGATTTTATTCTTATACTTTATTATCTCAAATTAAAAACTTGAGAATATAAATTTACGAAATATATTTCAAATTAATTTTAAGTACTTTATTTTAATAAAATGATAAATATTAATTGCATCAGTTAATATTTTATATAATCAATGTAAATAATTAAAAGCGATAATATTGTTGGATATGAATTATTAAAATAATTAACAAATATTATTGGATATGAATTATTAAAATAATTAACATTGGACAATATTATTTAAATAATTTAATATACTCTGCATGGATTATTTCATTTAAATAGTTATAGCAAATCTGTTTGATTTCTGCCGCCAATGCACTAGCTGTCAATACCTGATGAATTTATTCTTCTGCTGTCAATTTTTTACCGCGTTGTTCGGACAATTGTTCGTTTTTTGCCAATAGTACCTAATAGTAGTTTTTGTTTGCTTTTTGCTCTAGCATCTTGCCGAATAGAAAATAATGGATCCTATGTCAATTCTACCTTTTTACCGATGAAATCTATAGTAAATACATAACAAAATCTGTTTTCAACAAACTTGACTATTTAAGAAGCTGCCAACATGACGCAAGCATTTTATTTAACTGAAACGGTAAATAAATTTCTTTTCGTTATATTTTCATATTATTGAAATGATACGTATTGTAAAATTCTTAACAACTTGAAATTTGACAAAATCTTTAGACAGAATTTGACAGCGAAAAATAAATTAAATACTAATCACCGGTAAATGAGATAAAAATATCGATTTGCGTAAAAAATCTACGAAACGCATCAAGTTTTTCATGAAGAGAAGAAGTCAGGGAGAAGAAGTCCTGGAAGATACCTGGAAGATACCCTACGTTAAGCAAGGATGAGCAAAAGGATTCCGAAGTACGTACATAGGGCGAACGTTTTATTACAGTTTTCATCCGCAGATTAGCCCCTTTGGAACCATCGATACTCGAGAATCCGGCAGTTTATAGCCCCCTCATAAAATCTATTTGGTGTTTCCGACTCGGGCCGACTGGACTTCAGGCAAGAAACGAACAAAAAGGTACCTATACGTTGGCGTAGACCTGAGGAATTTCCAACACGCTACGTAAAGCCTGCGTTACGTGTCTCCGGGTCTCCAATTACGCGCAGGTTGCCGACCGGGTGTCCTTCCCTTTCAGAATTTAATCCTTGAGGATTCCAAAGGATAACGCCAATGCACACACCTTCCAATCTCGCCCCATCCCACCCGGTTTTCCATCCCGTTATCTTCGACGTCGTGGTTTCACGTGCGTTCCGCGAATATCATGACAGGCCTCCCTGCAACCTTTTGTAGTCTCCTCGCGTTCCGAAAAATATGGCGGGGATCTATCTCTCCTCGATGCGGCACAATGGTGGACAGATGTGCCACAAATGTAGAACCTTCGCATCTTTTTTTTTCACAAGCTCAACAATTTTAGCTCGAGAATGTGTAATAAATATTTTGCGAACACTTCGGGATATGTCACAACTCATTTTCTTCGCATTTTCTTATCGAGATAAATAATTTCGTTAAATGTCGGTATTATAATATCTTTATCAGCATAAATGAATAAAGCATGCTTCAGACTATACACGCTTCAGGCAGAATTTATATTCATTTTTGTTTATTGTGTCGCGGCTTTAGAATGAACAGCAAGCGGCCTTTGTCGGCACGATGTGACTTTGTCGCTGAATAAATTTAATCTGAATGTCTTTTTTTCGGCTATACCTAATGGTTCGGTTGCCTTCGATATGCCGTGCGTAATACATAAAACATGCAACATCAAATCACTATAACGTTACCCAGAAACACTACGGTGAATACTATCGGTGGGTGAAAATAAATAAAAATCACGTTCTCGTCACAATCTAGGTTACGGAATTTTATGAGACACGATATCGTGCGCTATTGTAAAAATCTTTATGTATTAATTCATGATATCCGTTTTCTGTCTAGACGCGTGAATAAATAGCAATCGATGACGTCTTTTTTTTTTACCGCGGTCGTCCTTGACAAATAAATTCGAAGCGAGCGGTAATGAAAAAACACGACGATGCAAAAATTCCAATGTCGGTTTTAATATCGTATACGCGGCGACGTCCCTTCGCATTACTCTTCCGCTAAAACAATGATACATCGCCGATCGGCGAAGGTATTATATCGAACCCTCGTATAATCGACACTAGCGGTAATTGGAGCATAGATACGGTTATGCACAGCACGTCCATTAATTCTCCGCAGCGCTCATTTCTCATTCCGTCGGGCGCAATCGTCAGATTCATCCGAGACCTTGCATCGCATTGTTTGTTAACCGAATTATTCTGGCACAGATAGAGCAAAATAATTCTCGAAAATAATTCATTTCAAATATTTTTATATTTATTTATCGTACACATTCTTTGTATATTTTATCATCTATCTAAAATATTTTTGTATTTGAGAGAGATATATTTTAAATATATTTCTATCATATAGAAAATATGAGAGGCTTCTCGATACACTTTTGATGAGATAAAGTTATTTTCATTTACTGACGATCATTTGCGATCAAAAGCAGAACATTTTTTGTAATTTTTGGAATTCTTATCAAATATGATCTTTTTACACAAAATTTTTTACCAATTCTCTGTATTGCTATAATGTCGATTTATATGAATTCAAATTCAATACCGTTTGAAAAACCATTTGACATAAAATCTAGCTTTAATCTTGCTTTATCCTATAATCTGTTATCTAATTTTAAGCAAAGTATAATGTCAAATTTTATATTGTGCCCGAATAATCACGCACTGAAAGATATCTATAAAATAAAGAAACTGCATTTTTCTTCGTTTATTATCCGTGCGTGTGGCTTTTACCGCTATCCATCATGAAACGATCGCGATTGCATCGAGTAATTTTTTAAAGCCATTATCCCATAGCTGTGACAGTCATGTTTACGGAGCGAGAGACGTCTCGCCGTCGGGAAGAAATTATCGGGCTCGCGTTGTGTCGCATAAACCGTGCAAAGTTCTCGGTTCGCCGCCAGCTAGCTCGAATTGCGTCGAAGTGTCGGGGGTTGGTTTCACGAGGAGGAGGAAAGGGGACAGAGGGGGACAGGGTGGACTGGGGTCGGACATCGATCTGGTAGTTAACTTCAGTGCCCCCGCGGGACTCGTTGCCACCTTCGTCTGCGCTCGCGGTATGCGTGGATGGGCGGAGGGGTACGATCCGGAACGGGGAGGATTTGATGATTCGCGTGCTCGCGTAAAGCGCATTATGCGTTTTTACGTTTGTGTTTACGCGCGAGTCGCTAACGAGACTCGTTCGCCGTGCCCACGTACGGCGCGACAGCGACAGCGGACCACGGCTCCGTCGCGATGCCGACGAGCAATAAATTCGCTAAAAAGGGACACTTACGCATCCCGTAATCCCTAAATCGCGATTAGACAGGCAGTGTCAATTGGATAATCCCGGACTGACCGTTCTTACAGTCGCGTCTGATTTTCACGACGTGAGAACGCGAATTAACTAATGTTTTCTCTATCGCTTTTTTATACATATTTTATATTTTAAAATTGTTTTATTTTAAATTATTTTATATTTTATTCAATAATATTATTGAAATAATAGACTCGATATGCATTCATCGTATAAGGAATTGAATCGCGAGAAGCTATTATAATAGAAGATATCTGTATATTGCGCTTTTAATTATATATAAAAAAAAAATCAGAAAATTAACTATCGCGCTATTTTTTTGTTCCAGACCGTACGTAATATTCCAATCTGTAATTTATTCGTCCGCGAAGCCATCGTATTTGATATCAAACGTGCGAAGCTATCTCTATGATAATCAGTCGTTCAAAATCACGCGATCGATCACTTTATATTTTCTTCGATTATTCTGTAAATCTTTAATGATCTACTTTAATCGGGCCTCCGACTAAATTAGCGATATTATTGACTGGGAAATAAGAGCGAAACAATTTAATCTTAATATAATTTCTTAAGAAATACCAACAGAAGAGGACAATTCAAATCATATCAGGATAAATCGGTTATTATTATAAGTGTGTATATGTTCGAATGTTTACATACCAATATATTTCTTCGGTTTCTTATGTAGCGTTCAAGGACATTTAGAAGTCGAACAGTCAGTACTGCATCGACTCTGAAGAAATAAACACGTACGTATCATCGGGCACGCTTCCGCTGTTCTTTGTCTCCTAAAGTCAGTATCATCCTCGCATTCGATCGCGGAAGAACTTCGCAAGAACCTGCATCACCACATATTTATAGAACGGTACGTTAAATCAGTTTTTACAATTTTTAGACGCAAGGGAAACAGCCTTTTTCAATCGCGAAGGAATTTGGCGCGCGACGGGAGAAGTAAGTGCACACGTGACGTCACGTGATGGAACCGTCGCTCAATTCACGTTACATCATCGCGTTCTCGCGCCGCGACGAGACGTTCCCGCGTTCTTTTTACGCGAACGAGTTGCATTTCGCGGGCGTATTTGCGTCGGGTGTGCGAAATCGGGTGAGCGACGGCGACGTGCGTCGGGATACGTTAAATTGTTCGGCATGAATGCGATCGTCGCTTCTCTTACTCATTGTCAGTTAATCGTCTATCGCGTCGCGTCGCGTTGGGTTATGTCGCGTTGGCGCTCGTCCCTGTCTCATCTCTTTAAATACGCATTTCTTTTATATACTTACACCGTGCGAAACAGAAATATTGAATAAATATCGAGCACTGGTTGCATCGGCAGATGGGAAATTGCCGCGAAACGATCGAAACGGTTTCTGTAGATATTAACGGTATTCGCGGATAACGGTCAGTATTCACGTCCGCCACGGCATGATGATTAACGTCGCGCTTTCGAATTTCTTAACCGAAAATTCATTGCGCGCACACTTTAACGTTAAGAGCAATGACCTAATTGAGCTGATGTATAATTTCAGTGAGTTCCGATCCATCACGCTGTATGAATACGGGAAGAGAGAGACGAGGATTGAAGCAATCGACGAGGTATTCCGCATCGTATTACTCGATCGAACAGGGCGTGCATGATAGCGGAAAGCAGCGGTGTCGCACAGCGAATGGTGAGTCAATTCTTATATTTGTATGAAATTTTTTATGTCTGAAAATAATTTGTCAAGAGGCGAGCAAAAGATACGTAATTTATTAAAGAATTGACAAAAAGATGGCTCGGACAATTGAAAATTTCATTTAATTTCATTGCGGAAATATATGTGGCTACCTATTAAAAGAATCATATTGTTATAATATATGTTACTATTATTATAAAATTTTGTATGTCTGAGTACGATTTGTCAAGAGGCGAGCAAAAGTAATTTATTAAGAATTGATAAAGAGGTGGCTCGAACAATTGAAAATTTCATTTAATTTCATTGCGGGAATATATGTAGCTATCTATAAAAAGAATCATATCGTTATAATATGTTATTATAAAATTTTTTATGTCTGAATACGATTTGTCAAGAGGCGAACAAAAGATACGTAATTTATTAAGAATTGACAAAGAGGTATAGGCTCGGACAATTGAAAATTTCATTTAATTTCATTGCGGAAATATATGTGGCTATCTATAAAAAGAATCATATCGTTATAATATATGTTATTATAAAATTTTTTATGTCTGAATACGATTTGTCAAGAGGCGAGCAAAAGATACGTAATTTATTAAGAATTGACAAAGAGGTGACTCGGACAATTAGAAATTTCCTTTCATTGCGGGAATATATATGGCTATTTATAAAAAGAATCATATCGTTATAATACACGTTATTATTATTATAAAATACTGAACAGAAACGAATCACATTCTTATAAATATTATTTTAACAATATCACTTTTTTGTATTAAAAAGAATGAATTAAAAATACAGGAGATTTTTCGTCCACGAAAAAAAGCATTGTTACAACAATATTATAATCCAAAAAGGACCGGACAATTGTCGGACTGCAGTAATAAAAAAGCATTCCTATATAGATAAAAAAGATTGTAACAGACAAAATTTATTTCTTAATTATTATATCGGAGAGATTTAAATATTACATCGGTTTCTCTTCCTCGCGTTATAAAACAACAAACGGTATTATTTACAATTACAAGAGAAAGCGTTCTGTCGAAGTGATCGCCACTTTTTTTGTGTTGTGTAAACGTTCGCTATAAGAAATATACGAAAAGTCTAGGGAAAATATAGACTTCGCGGTTGTTATCATAATATTCAAGCAATTCTTGCTTTAATGTTAACAATCATAACACTATTATATTATGCTATTTTATTAAGGTATCGAATTAGAGAAACGATTATCCTCATATCGACATTATCCATTTATACTCGATCTATACACTTTACTTTAAGGCACATATCTCTTTTTTTTTTAATTTCCTTTACAAACGCATTTATATACAAATTCGTATTTACAATATATTAACAAAATGTTCGCATTACTTAGACGACTTTCGCGGATACGTTCTAAAGCCGTAGCAATCCGATCGTTGTACAGTCACTGACAATTGCTATTATTTCCTCCGTCATCGTTCATGATTACCATGATCGAAGCTGAGCACTCCCTTATTAGCTTTTGCGCGATGATGATAAAAAAAAGAAACGTACGTTACTCAAAGGTAATAAAGAGTTGTAATATATAGAATTACAATAGAAAATATGGCATGACCCTGCGGTTGTCCGATCGTTGAGAAAAAAAAAGAAAGAAAAAAGCGTCGTGACGAAATGCGAAAATATGTGCTTTTGCACGCGCGGATAATGTCGATACAGAAAAACTAACGATCGATCACAACAAATGAAAGAATGAGTAATTTGCGTGATGTCATGCACGCTTTTCACACGTTCCATCGCCCACGTGTACGTAGCGCGCATCCTTACACTTTTTATCATTCACGATCGCCGATAAATTACGATGACTAGTATTATCCAAGTGTTACACAAGTGTTATCCAAAATTTTCGAGCATCCAGCGCTCGGTTCCGATCTTGAATCCGATCCGAGATCAATTAACTCTTCAGCTCTGTGAACGCTGCGCACATCTCTATTATTTCTATATAAAATAATATATATTTCATATATACTTATTTATATATAGAATAATACGCGAACGTATAGAGATCTATCGATGATCGCGATACAGTGTGCTGCAGTGAAGGCAAGTAAAACTTACGACGCTTCTCGCAATTAATTTACGACGTCGAATTTCGTGCTGATGCAAAATAAATGCAATGATATAATTGTGGCGTACTTTTCTCTGTAAATTACTCACAATAAAGCTCCTTTGCATGCCGCAGTTAAAGAGTTAATAATACTTGTTTGGATAACTCGACTATTTTCGGATACTACTGTCTCTATCTTAAAACTAACGTTCAGACTATGCGCGACAATTCTTGATTCGCGCCAGACGGTCGGGATCCCCCTATTATCGGGATAGTCAAACAAATATCTCTATTTTTAATTCCTTTCCCCCTCAATTCTCCCCTCTAATATCCAGGTACAATTACGAAAACACGATCGTATAGCAGACTGCATGAATATCTAGATGCACGATGCGAGTACATTTAGATTCCACTCGGAATTGCCAAATGCATTCATGTAGTCCGCATTCGATATTTACTTCCGGCTTCAGGCTCTTGCGGAATCAAACGGTCGAGCGTAACGGTAGAACGTAAAATATCGAAAGCACGACCGTCATATTAACGGGGATCGCCGTGGATATGTGAAGCCGACGGAAGTTATAGTGAGATCAAAGCGTTTTCCACGATCTGCAATTTCCACGAACGATCCGTTTAACAACGGTCGTTTATCACAGACCCGTTGTGTGTATCATGTGCGAGCTACATTTAATTTATCTTACGCGTCCCATATAATTACATATATTACGCGGCGTCCATTCGTTTATCTATTTGCAAACTCTTTGTACGTTGTGTGTGTGTTCGAAGTGATAGACGGTAGATATACCTCACCACCCCGCTTTCCCGTCATCCCGTGTCTCGTGAGTCCGTTCCGGGGAGAGTTCGCGGAATCCCCTCGGCAACGAAGAGCATATCCCTTCACATCGGATTAGAATGGCCCGGGTATTGCATAGGCAGTGTCGTGGGTAGCGACGCGGATTGCGACGTAGGCTGCGACGTGGGCAGAGACGTGGGTAGAGGTGTAGGTAGAGACGTCGACGTCGTCGGCGTTGAAAGCGGTGCGGAGGAGGTGCTCTCGTTGGTCTGCATCAGACCGCCCAGCATCCCACCCATCTCCGTTCCGGCGGTGGCATAACCCATCATACCACCGGCAACCACCTCCACCGTAGTGGAGGCCGCCGCCGCCGCCGCCGCCGCCGCGGCCGCCGCCACAACGTCTTGCGCTCTCATCTGCCGCTCTCTCAATTGCTCCTGCTGCTTCTTCATCAATTTCCGCTCCTTCGCCCGTCGGTTTTGAAACCAGATCTTTATCTGCAAAGAGAGGGTTACCGCTGTGCGATCGATTGCCGCGTAACAATTTAAGAATTTTCAGCGACAATTATATACCTACGGACGCGCGACGCTTACCTGACGCTCCGTGAGACCGAGCTGAGCGGCGAGATCCGCTTTCCGTTTGATAGTGGTGTAGTGATTCATATGAAATTCTTTTTCCAACTCTAGCCTTTGATAGTCCGTGTAGACCACTCGGTATTTGTCTTTTGTGCGAGTCTTCCCTGAAAAAGAGGCAGATAACGGCCGGTGTTATTACGCGGTTTTAATATCTATCGTACTGATTCCCTTGTCAATAATGCGTTAAGGAGATAACGTTTTCAGCGAGCGCGTATACCGCGTGGCGACATTAATAAAGTAAAGGATGTTTCGTAATTAATTTCACGTCGAACTAAGGAATGTGAGAGGCAGTTGCAATTTGCTTTAGTCATCCTGCGCATGATCTAATACCTGAGATAAATAACTGTCTGATAAATTCTTAATTGTAATTACGAATAATTATACTATAGCTAATATAAATTAAAGTGGAAAAAAGATGAAAAAAAAACACTAATGAGGAAAAACGTGAAAATTTTTGCCAAAAATATTCTGATTACAATGAGCAATTTGTTTTTAAAATTTCGCTCAAATGTGCTATAATAAAGAATATTCCTTTCATTACAAGTAAAATTAATTATACATATTAAAATGATGTTCATTCCATCTCAATTACTTTTAACAAGAATTTAATCCAGCAATAGTATTTATATTAATTATTTTTAATATAAATAAAAGTTGCGGGAAAGAGAATTTGAAATAATTATGTGTGAATAACTTCAGATTTACAGTAATGATTTCTCTCAGCATAATTGATTATTTTAAAATTGCAATGAGAACCGATTAATAAGAAAAACAAAATATCTAAACAGTAATTGAGGAAGGTAATTGTACATTATTAATATACTGCATATAATTGTCTTTGATCCTCTTCATAAAATTAGTTTTGATTTAAAATATTATAAATTTAATAAAACATCAATGGCCGTACATCAATAACCATATAAAATATACTATCACATATTAATAGCTTGCGTCTACAACGATTATAATCATGCACATAAAAATTATTGAAGGGGAAGATAGTTATTAACTTCTAATTAATTTATATTTTACGATAACCATAATAATTGTAAGTAAAAGAAAAGACAACGCGCACATACACATACTCATATTGCTCATACACATACACAAAGTTGCGGTAGCTTAAAGTAACGGCGTTTCGCAAAATGAGAGATGCATCTATACGATCTTGCAATGAATAACGCGTAGCGCGATTATTTCTTATGAAGGAAAACGACGCGCCAGAAGGCGGCAATAAGAAGGAGAAGAGGAGTGCGTTGGCAATCGCACGGTGTGAATGCGTTTCTTACGACGTGGCATTCTTGGCGGTAACACGCGCACAAAATACAGAATGGAGAGAGAGAAGAACGGGAAACGGGGATGGTAGAGAGTGTGCGTATGTGTATGCGTGTTTTTTGTATGTGTGGGAACGGCAAGAGATGGTTCAAGAGAGAGGGACACGATTAGATAAGGCTCCGCCGGCGAGATCAAAGGCGGGCACGTTAATCCACCGCTCCTCGATAAGAGAACCTCCGAGGCCTTCGCGGCGTTACGAATAAGCAAGCGACCTTAGACTTTTCGTCGGTACACAGAATGGCCACAGTCTGAGGCCAGCATGGCTGGTATCGGAACAGCAGGATATCCTCGCGTGCAGGCAAGGATGCGCAGCAAGGATGGATAAATAGTAGAGTCAAAGGAATCCATAGAAGTCGAGAAATTCACAGAATTGAATTGACATTTTAATCAGACATCTGATAATCTTTGAGATCTGATATTACTTTGAATTTGATATTATTTTGTTTCCTTTCGGATTTTCTTTGTACATATTTCCTTTCAACAATTGCGAAATTAAATCTTGATTTCAAAGGGAAGTCAAGATATAAACTCTCAATTTATAAAATCAATCTTCAATTTATTTTATCTAATTAATTTTTAGAGATCGAGAATTTCGTGAAATACAAATTCTTACAAAAAGTCAGAGATCCGCGAAGTAAAAAAGAGCTTTCTATAAAATTATTAAATTATACATGAAATTATATATATAAAATAGAGATATATAATTACTTTATACAAAAAATGTAGGAAAGATTTTGTAAAAAGCTCTTTTTTGCTTTGCAGATCTCTTAACAATATTTTCATAAGAATTCGCATTTCACGAAATTCTCGATCTTAAAAAATTAATAAACAAAAAAAGAGATAAATTAAAATTTTATAAAATAGAGAGTACATAAACTCATTTGAAGAGAAGCATGGATTTTAAATTGATACTTATGCGTTTTAGAAAACGAATTTTACGAATTCTACAAAAAAGTAAATACGAATTCTAATGATCTTTATATAAGTCACTTACGAAAGATTTATCTTATTTGTAAGATGTCTTTCTTATACATGATTGTGTAGAAAATTCATGTAAGGTAATGTAAACAATGAGAGAGAGAGAGAGAGAGAGAGAGAAAATCTGAAGAATTAGGCGATACGTTGGCGTTTAGACGATGTACACGTCGACGCATGCGGTGCGCGTTCATGATTAAATCCGTGTAAATCTGTTCAAATAACGCAGCAATATATTACGGGCTGTCTAGTTTCTGAGTTTTCATCTACTCAGATTGAGATTGAGAGATTGTTATCGCGGGCACTTCCAACTCTGCGTACCTATGATAATACTTAAATCACATCTTTACTACACATCCCATGTGAGAGATGTGCCGTATATTAAATCGACGTGTTCACTACCAACTGTTATATCTTATCCCCGCTACCGGGTTATTCAATCAACTGATTTCTAATTTCAATTTTAAAATATAAGTTAGGAAGTTCCATTATTACTCAATTAAGATGTCAAGATGTAATTGAATCGACAAGAAATATGATATGAATCAATTTTGTCATGAATAAATTAAGAAAAATTCGCACTGTTTTTTTTTCTTAAAGATATTGTGCTCTCTTTAAAAATATTAGCTAAACAGCATCTATATACTATATTTAATTCTAAATGTTTTGGAGAAACGAAAATCTAAAAACAAATAGTCGTGCAAGCTTTCTCTTTTTTTCTAAAAAAAAAAAGGATGTAACTTAGGATTTTCTTTTCGCAATAATCGATTATTTCACAATTGCATAATGTCTAGTTTAAATCTCTGTTATATCAATAAAGCGTTACAAGAGATAAACGAGGAATAAATATTAGACAGCGTTTGCCATGGTTTTTGTCAATATGATATCACGTAATGTAACTCGGATTTTTCCCTTTCTCTCGCTCTTTTTTTTCTGTTACGCTGCGCGCATTGTTAGACGTGCAAATATTTGACGCGTTAAGAGCAAACTGTCGCGCGGCCTGATGCACGTAAACAAACACATGAAACATCCTTAAACCTTATCAAAAGGCAGACTCTTTATCTTTGAAGATTGTAATCGAATCAAAAAAAAATTCCAAACTGCCTGCGGTACTGGCCTTAATTGCGATAGATTTCTCGCGCGACAGGCACTCGCCACGCCACGCTCGCAAAGATAATTTCGCGATTCCGAATCAATTTTTATCACGAGACGAAAGAAGTCGCACCTGTCATCTATATAATGAGATATAATGAGAACTAAATTGAAAAAAATCGGTTGTTTAAGTCAAATATTAGCAACAAATTGTCACAAAAAGTAGTAAATTTAATTTTTATGCCTTTTTTTTAGAAAGGATAATCTAGATAATTAGTAGCATTAACTTAATTTTATAATCAAAGCTATGTGTCTATCTAATATCTAATATCTAATAATTGACTGTGACAAAAAAGTATATTGATTATTAATGATAATTAATAGTGTGTGAGAAGCTAAATACAAAGTTGAATTAAAATGTTTTAAAAGATGAAGGTGAATGATTTGCTCTTTCGCCTTGTAGCAGGCATCCGACACGAAGGGGAGACTTAAGAAATCGACGTTTCTAGTTTCTAGAACTTTTTCACGGTTAACGGAGCAACTTTGCGCGACTCCGAGTTGAACTTTTTACATTCGGAGGAGCCCGTCGGAGGGCAAGTCTCGGATGGTTCGCACCGTGTGCAGGCTGTTGTTCGAGAGGGCAGGTCGTCGGTTTTTTTTTCGTCTCACGCACGGGCCACGTGAGCGTATGAGTTAGAAAGGATTACCGTCGGCGTTTTTCATCTTGCCGATATCGCACCTACGATTATCCGGCCCCGGTGACGCGCCGACATCGCGACCACCAGATGCTCTCAATAGCGCGCGGTTGTATTATAGTATCTTGAATTCGGTAAAAAAAAGACAACATTTTAACATCGATATTTTAATTTATGTTCTAAAATCAGTAATTTAATACAGGAAATATTTCAATCTCTAATCTAACGTGTGCCGATTGTTCCTCGCTAAAGTTTATCACCGCGAGCGGAGCGTCGGAGACGATTTCTTAAAATGTATCTAGCTCTGTTGCAGAATCCGTCATTGTCTATACCTTCGAACGAACGAATCCACCGGAGCTATTTCTCCCGAGTATCCGTGCGCGAAATGCGAACGAGCACGACGAAGAGGGAGAGAGAGAGAGAGAAAGAGAAAAAAGGGAGAGCGAGAGGGAACGCGACGGATTTTACGAATCGCTATGCGATGCGGGAGGACAGAGAGAACGTGGAGAGAAAGACGCGAGCGAGGGGGCGAAGAAACGGTGCTCCTGGGACTCGTTGCCACCCCATTATAGCGTTTGCTCTTCCATTTCACGCCGCGGAATGGCAAAAGCGCGTGCCCCGCTTTTCCTGCGGGCGTTTGACAACCCCCGGCGATATCTCGTGTCGGCCTAGCCGGAGCCGCGCGCCGACTCGCGCGGGTGCCATTCGTCAGCGGCGTCACAATTACCTCTATTGTGCCACCTCGCATTTGTATATCGCATATCAAGTGTCCGCGCACGAAGAGAGAGGGAAAGAGAGATCAGAGAAAGAGAATTTTTTTTACCGTACACTGCGTGTGTAAGTCGCGATGTAGACTATCTGTTCTTCTTCAGCATTTGAAAATTTTTTCTTTTTTTTATTTTTTTATTTTATATAAGTCGTTAATATTTTTGTATTGCCTGCAACGTTGCTGTGCGGCTAGCAAATATAAATGTTATAAAAATTGATGTTAAATATGTTATAATTCAGTGTATGTATACACAAATTTTATTACAAAATTAGTATTATATATATTAGAATTAAACGTCTAAGAATATTTATTCACAAACATTAATTACAATATTTCAAGCATTACAAAAATATTAACCTACAAAAAAATAAAAAAGAAAGGAATATATATTAGTGAATTTAATTTATTTATTATCACATTTAGCAAATTTTTGGAGAATTCTATTTTAATTTGTATCTCATGTTTAGCTTATTTATGAATAAAATGGACAATACATAAAATAAGAAGAAAATCATTGGAAAGTGTTGCAAGTTGAAAAAAATTTAACAATACGTGCTAGTTGATGGATAAAAGCAACAAGTATAATATATGTTTAACGTTAAAAAAACTAACAGTTGACGTGTTTTCTTCTTTTATCCAGTGACAAATATAACAAATCGCAGGTAAGCATATGCTAGCAACAAAAAATCAGACAAAAAATTTGACAAAAAAAATCAGAAACTTAAAAGGTTCCATCGCATATACCTGTAAAGCGCGTGGCTAAAGGAAACTCAACAGTTTCGATACTATAATTGATTTATTGTCTCGCAACCTTCTCTGTCTTGGCATTCGAATTTCTATGGCGAGCGACGACAGTGGAAACATTATCGTAACAAAACTAAAAATATGTTGGGAATTAACCTTGGCTGGCACGTATCCTGGTCGTAGAAATGTGCAAAAAAAAAAAGAGAACAGAGATAAAAGTGTCAAAAATATTTGTTGGGAGATTTCTGTAAATCTTCAAATCTCTCAGCGCCTGGTCGCGTAGGGTTTCGTTCTATTAAACTGTGGCCAACTGACTGAGTTCGAAGCTGAATTTTCAGTCGAATATCCAGCCGAGTCGCCTCGTGGACGCGCACTTAATTTTTTTCGTGTGCCCCTATTTTGCTTCAGTCATATAATTCGCATCCAAATGCAGTTCGGCTTGAAACTCAGCTCGCGACGCCGATGATCGTTTAACGTTTCCTTTTCAACGCGACGTGGAGAGACACCCCGATGTCTGATGGCGTGCTGCGAGCCGAATTGCATAACACCAAAATTGTCGTGACTCGAGGGTTTCCGCTGTGGATCGGTTGACAACAAAATTTCACCGGAGATTCGACAATTATGTACCGGATCCGGCGCCGCCGTTGATCTTGTCTGTCACAACACTCGGCTGTCGTGAAAGGAGTTCTAAGTCATTGAATATTGTAGGCGGAGTCTATTTTACGAATTTGCGACGAAGATTAGGTTGAACCTTTTCCGAAAGAAGGCGTTGAAGCTCACAGAATGAATGACAAAGGTGATACTACATAAGATAAGCAATGTTTTGAAGGAAAAGGGGATCTCGTGGGTCTCACAGAGATAAGAAAAATTGTGCGCGTGAGAGATAAAGGGCTAATTAAATTCCACTTTCAAACGATTACTTTCCATAATTATCGGCAGGAATAATAGCGACCGATGTCTTTACCTGCAAATCGCGGTGATATTAAAATCTTTTCCTCTTCGTTGTTTAATCGCGCCGATAGGAGGGGGATTGTGCATGGCCAGGGCGAAGGCGCCATAAAAGCGGTAGAAATCGCGTGCTGCCATGGTAGAATCGCTCTCACGGAACGGGACGGAACGGAACCCGAACGGCCTGGCGGCGGCGATTCGCGGGATGCGCGAGGGAATGAGAAAGCGCATGCACACACGAGGCCGTCCCTCACGAAATTGTAATGCACGCCTCGCGTTTTTGTATTGTCGTGGTGAGAGGCTTCGGCCGTGCGGCTTCTGCCCGCAATATAACCATAAAACGCAGATAATTGCCGCTGGAAGGTACAGGACGCTCGTTCAAGGTACTTAAGGTGCGTACTTACTGCACGCGCGTGAAGTAAAATGCAAATAAGAGAATAGAAGAGAGGGAGAGAGAGAGAGAGAGAGACGGCGTTCGAAAAGAAGAATTGGGACGGATTCTGCGAAGCGCCTGGTGGCCAAGTGCATCAGGCGAAAAATAATGGGGATTTGGGGCAAAGCAGTCTGAATATATTAGCATGCTAATTCGGATAGCTAATTCGGCTAAAAATTTATGAAATATGTTCACAATTAAGATTCACTGTGATTTCGCGCTTTTCTTTAGAAAAGGGTCCGTTTACAAAATGCATCTTTCGACGTAGAAAAGAGTCCGTTACAAAATGCTACTTCTAAAATATGAGTAGGTACCTGAGGTAGGAGATATACTGTATAGTGTATTAGACGCTGAATTCTTGGAAAAATAAATTACTATAAATAATTAATTTGTAATACACAATAAAAAAATCTCGCTGGAATGAAGATATAAAAAAGTATGAGATGAGATTTAAGTAAAAACATCTTCGTGAAAGAGCACGAGTCGATATGTAAATTCTGCTACTCTAAAAATTCTTAATATTGTCATTTTTTTTATTGCTGAAACATAATTAATTTCTTGTTAGCACAGCGTTAGCATGCCATTCATTGTAAAATATCACATAATTCTTTAACGTATATAATACATCATTGTCTAGTCAAAGACACGTGATACGTTAATTTCTACTAAAGAACATCGGGGGCTGCATGCACAATCGAAGTACAATAACGCATGCAAACACCAAATATAATATATAATATAATAATACACATAATAATCAATTGATTAATGGTTCGTACCGAGAATTTCAAGTCGGCAACAGAGTTCATTAATTGGCGACGTTGAATCTGCGCCGCCGACAGTTTCGGCGTTGCACGCTGCAACAATGGAAAGGGCATATCTCTTTCATCAAAAAGCTATCTCCTCATGTTTATATCAAATAACAAAATTGACCGGATTTTCGAACGGTTTGTGCATATCGGATTACCGATGCCGCGAAACAACGAGAGATTAACTCTTTCTCGTCGCGTGTGTTGATTCAGGACGCGTTCCGTGCGAACGGATGGGACTTTCGTTCGAGTCCGGTGAAAAATCGAGATGGACGACGAGAGGAAACGAGGGAGACAGAGAAGGACGGAGGGAGGGAGGGAGGGAGGAAAGGGGATTATCTCACAAATATTTGAGAGCAATTAGATGTTTGCTCGTCCGTTACCGTGTTTACATGGTTTGCCGTATCTAGACCGCTGGAGACGTATTTATGACCGCGCGCACGATATGCACGAAAGAAGTTCTCTCGTTAAGTGCGTAACTTCATCACGTGGCTTTTTAAACCGTCTGATTTCTTAATCGAGCTCTCGAAACTGAAGATTAACTATTTGTGGGTAAAGCTCAAGCACGCGAGTAGTTTGCCCGATTGCGAATCATATTTTTCGATTACGGATTAATGACGCGTGCTTCGACAAATAATTTTTCTTGATCATCGTCGTAAAATCGTACCATTAATTTTTCTTTATCCCATTTAAAGTGATTTAATAAAATACGTGTGGTAACTGATATTTGTAAATTACTAATTTTCATTTAGATTTTAATAAAAGATTTATTAGTACGAATCTATAGTATATATTTTCTAAGATTTAATAAATGTTCTCAGAAATTATAGAAATGAATTATATCAAAAGAACGTCCAAAAAGCGCCGGATTTTTTCTGTTCTCACAGCCTCCAATTCCGACGCATTGAATACACTGGTCCCTGACCGATCCACTTAAATCGATAGCATGTACCAAACAGATATATGTACAGTCGGAAGTATTCTCGGAAGTATCCTCGATGATGAAGATATTTCTCTAAACGTCTTTTGAATTTCGTTTCAACGTAATACATTTTTCAATTCAGAACTTGATTAAATTTAAATATTTGTGTCTTTCTTTTTCTCATTGAATGTGATTCAATTTTTTTCGCATTAGATAGTAAATAATAATGAAATAATAAATAATAGAGAAAAAGAAGAATTTATGTTACACATTTGATTTTATCTATATCATTTAATTATACTTCGCAATATCAAAGCAATATCAAAAATTTAATTACATTCTGGACGATTTATTCGAATATATTGGGATATATATGTATATATTTCCGCTACTATACAAAATCGATATTATAATTCAACAAGAATATATTTGCAGATTTTATTGATTTATTTTAATTGCTTCCTATGACGAACAAAATATACTGATAAAGCTTAATTAAACATCGTAAGAACACCTGAAATATCCTGGAATATATTTTGTTTTCATCTCTCAATTAAAATTTGAATTGTTTAATTATTTACGATACACGTAAATCACGTTGCACTATGTGAATTTAGTGAATTTAGTTAATTACAAGATAAAATAAAAATTAAGTGAGTCTATACGGAAAAAGGAATGATGAATCGAAATATAAAATAATTCCGACGGCGCGGCGCGCGCTGTGTTTCATTATTCATATTATTTGATTTATCTTTAACAAGTTAAGATAAATTTTAAAATATTTTAACTGAAGTAAAAGAGAAAAGGAAATAGCCTTTAATGAGTGCATATAGCGTATAATTTACATATAATTAATCAATTTTAGTAACAAACGTTTTCAACATTCATCAATTTTGTTATGAAATGTTAATCAAATTCATATTCATATTCATCAAATTTAATATTAATTTTATTTAATTGTGACGAACTTTTGCTGTACTTGCAAGAAATATAGAAAAAGTACTCTTAAAAATGCAAAATATTCTTTAAAACTTCATCGTTTCGTTACCCATTCGAATAAAAAATATTAAATCGCGAATAGGCTTTAACTCATTGAATTGTTCATCAGCCAAACTCCATAGCGCTTTCACTTGTATAGCTTTGATGATTCTTTAATCAATTCCGTAAAAACGCCACGATCATAATGAGACACTCAATTTCTTGCCGAATAGAAATTTGACTAACCTGGTTTAGGTTGACTCTGATACGACGGTCTTTTCATCCACTCGTACGGGCTCCTTCTTCCCTGAATTCTATGGGATGTGTATAATTGGTGACGTCTTGTGGACGATACCTCTCTGGGTGCGGACGGCATGTCTCTCGATGTGGACGGCATATCTCGAGATGTCGAGGGTATATCTCGAGATGTCGACGGCAGGTTCATGCCTGTAGGTAGCAGGTTTATATTGCCGGATGTGGCCGATAGATTCATGTTGCGAGATGTACAGGACAAGTCGCCGTATGACGACTCAACATGAAAATTAGGCGGCGTTGTAGGAGAAGTGCTGTTGGTGCTGTGATTACTTCCGTTCATGCTACCGTTTAGGCTGCCATTCACACTGCCGTTCATATTGCCGTCCACGATGCCGTTCATTCTCGCGGTAGTTGATGAATATTGATTGCGGATCGCCATGTCGATATTTATGTTTCTAATGCCCCATTTCAACATCCGTTGTCTGTAAGAAATTTCGTATTCCTGTTCCCTCGACGGTATTTGTGACTGTAGATATTGCGGCGGTGAATTTTGTTGGAAGAACTGCGGCGGCGAACTTTCCGGCAGCTGGCGTTTTGGTAACCGTTGTTGAATACGCTGCTGTGGCAATTGATTTGGCTGTTGATTATTATGTTGTTGCGGCGGAGAGTTTTGTAATTGCGGCGATGATGTAGTAAGTTGTTGACCGTGTTGCTGACAAATTTGTTGAGGCGGCGAACTTTGTTGCAAATGATGTGGCGGTGACGAGTGCTGCTGACAGACCTGTTGGGGCGGCGAATTGTGGAGGTGCTGCTGCGGAGACGAGTGCTGATAGAGCTGTTCTGACGGTGAGCTCTGTTGCAGATGTGGCTGTGGCATGTGTTGCTGGATGCGTTGTTCAGACGGCGAATGTTGCTCCAGCTGTTCCTGTGTCTGATGTTGCGATTGCGATTGCGTTTGAAAATGTAGATGTTGCGGTTGATACTGTATGTACGGCGAGTACTGAGTCGTGTAGTGCCACCCGGGTAGCATTTCCGGGTGGTTAAAAAACTGCGGAGGAATCGGACTTGGCTGATGCTGAGGATGCAACGCCGGTGTCGCGGGTATGGCTCTAGATGAATAGCCGTACCAGTATTGGGTCCCTTCAATGGCAGCGGGAGCCGCAACCGCAACCGCGGCGTGCGGTTGGACCGCCTGTTGCGCCGGTGTTTGCTGATGCGCTTGTTGCATTATCAATTGATGTTGCTGTTGATTATCAGCGACCTGTTGCTGCTGTTGGCGATACGTAAGGCTCGTCTGATTGTAGTGCGGCACCATGTTTGAGATGTTGCTGAGATTCGATATGGCGTTCGAGGATTCTCCAGGGATGATATCGTCACGAAACGATGGCATGTCGGATTTTGTTAATTAGACTTACACAATAAACAAGTGTTTCTGTTTTTCTTTAAACACAATTGAAATCACAAAAAGTGTAGTGAATTAACAACGTTAATAATAATTGTTATGTATATCCACGACACTTAGCGGCACAAACAACGAAATCGGCACAGATTAAACGTACGAATGTTATTGCTAGTTCCCGACGAACGCGTTTAGTCCGATATCGATATTGAACTGGCAACGTAACTCTGACGTTTACTAGCTGGAGTAACAACAAGCAGCTCGGTTTGGTGGGGATCTACTAGTAGGCTCCGCCCCTACAGAGCAGCATCGAACGACCAATCTACATCCGGCACCCAACGTAATGGTGTCCAACGAGAACGTCGCCGAACAGTATAGGAATGTCGCCCGCCTACAAAAAGAGAACCAAAAGAAAGAGAGGGAAGCCGACTCTTGTAGCTCCACCTTCTCAATAAGGCATGCTGTTGCTGGTCTTTATACATTTTTTTTTAGGAAGTTGACCAGTCTCCTCCTGTCGATTCTATTTGCGAAAATAGACTTTTCAACTTTTAATTTTTTAATGACACATGAAAATTCCAACATATTTATTATAATATAATACAGATTATTATTACAATATTGCAGTAACATTGTAATATTTCTGCAGTATAGCAATGTTACAATGTTACTGCAACATTGCAGTTATAATTTGTGTTTACTGGAATAGCTAGTACATTTAATTTCGTTTATTTCGGACTAAATTATAAAATGTAATGTCTAGAGATATCCAAAAATATTCTAAATTTAATTTAATTGCGTAAATTTTTTTACTTTTTAAATTGAAAAGGCATTACTTCAATATATCTGATAAATTGAAAAGGTTACAATTAAATTTATTACTTGTACAGTTCGATGTTCTCTTTTGGACACTTGTTCAATGTTTAAACCTTGAAGTTACAGATCAATTTAATTTGACGCGTGTAATTATTGTCACATACACCATCTAATAAAAAAAATTCTTGTTTTCTCCGTACTTTTTTTTCTCACAGACAGCTGCCTATATTTTTCAAAAGATTTTTAGTAAAAAGAAAGTTTACTTATAATATTTATTGTTCAATTGTGTTTTTTTTTTGTTGAAAATTGGGCGGCAAAATAAAGATGATGATAAAGATAATGATAAAGATTATATAATAATATTGCTGAATGTTTGATTAGCACATGATGAAAATTTTTCGCATCTGCATCGTACATTCAGTCATTAGCCTTTATTTTATAACATAATATAGTTAACTTTACAGTATAATGTAGTATTATAGTAAGAATGTTATTGTTTCTAAAAGAAGATATTTTTAATGATAATTATTTTAAGAAGTGCAATGCAGTTTCAATGCACTTCATTATAAAATATATAATATTACTGCATTAGATTTTTGGCCATCACGTGGCACTGTGATTGGACCATCACGAGCCGCATCCACATTCACGGGCATTTTACCACCTTTCCTTAATGTGCCCTCGCTCACGGTATGTGCAACACGTAACCGGTAAAGTTAGTTTGATTAACCAGAACTTTTATATATGTATCAATTTTTTTCAAGCTCTCATAGCATATTAAACAAATGATATCAAAGTGATAATTTGATATCACAATGGCACATAAATCACGGCACAGTACACGCGTATCCACACAGTATCTACAGTATTAATCGGTGCATTCGCGTAATATATTATTTTATTGCGTGGTCGTAACAAAATCGTATACGATTCCGGAATGTATAACATTTATAAACCATACGGGAAGTTCATAAATCATTTCGCTGCTTAGATGATTTAGAACCGAAAACTCAAGTTTATCGCGGCAGCGATTAAGATCGATAATCATTGTTTATTGCGTTTACTTAAGTTGAAGTGGGAATGCTATGTGTTTAATAAAAGACGAGTGTGTGACAAACTACTCATACTGAATGATGCTGATAAGTCAATGACTTTCTTACTTTACTCTGGCGTATAACACCTAATAAGCTTGGAGTTTGTGATTTTATAAGGACACATACTTTCTTTCGTATTTTCTATTAATAAACTGTCTGTAATTTTAGGACCACAGAATCATTTTTTCTCAATCTATATTAAAAAATTTGCTATTGCGTGATGCATTCAAGCTTGTGCATTATACAATTGAATTGCTTTTGATTATATTATACATATATCTATATATAATTATATATATAATTATATAAATATAATTATGTATAATTATATATCTATATGTATATCTATACAATTATATATCCATATCAATTTAAACAATTAGAAGAATGGCTCGCAAATAAATTTTATCTTGCATAACGTTACTGTGTTTACTTATATATAATTAAAAATATAAAAAACCCCTTTCGCGGCCTTGGTTGTTATTTTCAACCAACGGTATAATATATGTTGGTACTCGTCGATATTCGTCGGTACTCGCGCGTCCACATCTCCACGAAAATCAGAAGGCAACGGGCTTTGTAGGTTACTTTGCTCTCTGTTTTTTCTTCTGGTTGTTAATTGCTGTCTGTTATACGTTATCGTCTTTTTTTAGATTAGAATCATGAGTTTTGTACAATAGAGTAGAAACTCTTATCGGGTCGATCTCTCCCACTACAATACAATGAAATTCTGCAAACGCTTAATATATAAAGATGATCAACAGTTTAAAAAAAAAAGATTTAAGACACTTCACTCGTTACGTAATTGGCAGTAGTGTAGTACTTTTAAAGTCTCTACTTGGAATTTAACTGACAAATACAGCCGAAAAGCTCTTGGAATTGCTCGTGGTGCGGCATTTTAGCTAATTGTAAGAGAAAATCTTCAATCTCGTCAGAAATTTTGTTATAGTCTATAGATATCAAGATTGCGAGATCAGAATCGAATTAATCTGCAGGAAGATATAATGAGTGAATATATGTATATAATAAGTGAACAATAAATAATGAGTGCACGAAAATTAATAATATTCTACTGTTATTCACGAACAATTCCAAGGGCTTCTCAAAGACTAATCTTTGCAGGGACATACAAAATGGATTGTAACACCATAATTATCAATTTAATATCAAGTAGAGCTCGATAAAATTTTAATTTGTGAAGTATTTCAAAACTTGATGTGATGAAAATCGATTAATGTGTAGGAGGATCGAGACAGATATGAAATATAAAAATATTGATTCATTATTATAGTAAAAAAATTATGTATCAGTTGTACATTTAACAATCTTGTCGAGCGTTATGTTTTTTCGCCACACATCATCGTTCGCCTGACGATTATAACAACTCTCGTAATGAAGTTCAATTTACTAGACAATTTACATTCGATTACACATACCTAATTTACGAATTCACGAATCTCACGTAAAATATACTCCCAGTTTCTTCGAGCGAATTTATCGTACAATCGTCTCTCATAATATTACAGACAAAAAATGGCTAATTGTCTGTTTTTAATGCGTTCCTCCAGAGGAAGCCATCTGATATGTGGAATTTATTTGGCCGCAGCTTGTATTCTTCGTTCTTTTTTCTTGTTCATTTTTTGTTGATAATTTGCATTGAATCTTCAATCTTTGGTTTCTTCTGGCTATCGCTGGTCGGTCCTGTTATTATCTGCTGTCTGTAAATTGTCTGTTTTTAATGTGTTGCTCCAGAGGAAGCCAACTGATATGTGGGATTTATATTTTGATCGAATTGATACTTCTTCTGGGAGAGAGTGAGAGATCCTTCCTAGATTCGCATAATTGATCGCGCGGCACACGTAAAGTGCACCAATCGTAAAAGCTTAAAAAAAATACATTTAATTCACTGCTGCGACAAGATAGCATGAAAACATTACATTTTACTGCTAAAAGTTTACTTGGTTCTTATCAATTATTTTTTAATACGGCTATAATCGAAGTTTGCTCTAGAGTGATCACTTAAGAGTTAATAAATATTATATTATTAATAGTTAATGCAATGAGTTAACTCATAAATACGATCGGAATTAGTGCTGACTTTGACTTAAAATTAATTGTTTTATTACTCTGGCCGTCTCTCCTTGTGCAATATCTATTTGACTTATAAGTTGACTATAAAAAATTATTTAAAAAAGTGTAATTAATAATAAATTTTTTATTTGTTTTTTTCTCTCCATTTTTGTTGATGATTTGCGTCGAATCTTTAATCTTTAGAATGAATCTTCAACTTTTCTTTTCTTTTCTATTTTAGTCTAAACTATGCACTCGCGAAATCAATCTTATTTTTTTTGTACATTGCTATGATAATTTATACTGATTGGGATCTTTGGCTTCTTCTGGCTTCGCTGGCCAGTCTTATTATTGCGCCTGTTGTCTGTACATTGTCTGTTTTTAATGCGTTTTTCCAGAAGAAGCTATCTGATATGTGCCATCTGATATATGTGGGGTTTATTCGGTCACAACTTGTACTCTTCGTTATTTTTTTTTTGTCCATTTTTGTTGATAATTTGTGTTGAATCTTCAATCTTTAGTTTCTTCTGGCTATCGCTGGCCAGTCCTGATTTATAGGATATTGAATATATATTTATTACAAAGAAGCAGTAATATAATATTTATTTATATTATAACATAATTTATATCGAGAGCAGACAGAGAGAGTAAAGATGATCTTCCTCGCGGACAGAATGGTGCGCGTGTATGCGCGCTTATAGCATCAAACATTCTTTTCTTTTTAACTTTGAATGACTATGTGTGGTATTTTTTCTCTATCCCAGTATTAACATCATGCGAGTATGATTTTTGGTATTGAGTCTGTAAGTTTCTGTTGGGTGTGTTTTGCTCAAGTTTGATCAATGGAAGCACTAGTGGGGGGTATCAGACTTATTAATTATCTGGAAAAAATGAAATAGACAATAAAATTATGTACATATTATATACCTGCATTAAATCGTTTAAATTAAAATTTAGCCTCTTCTATGTTATTTTTTTATACAAAATGTTATTTTATATTTTATCAATATCTTACAGTGCTTAAAAAATGAGATATTAACGAG